TTTTTTGCATCATCACCATCGTCATTTGACTTGTATGCTGTCTTTCCATAGTTAAAACCATGCTCAAGGCGCCTTACAGCACAAAAGAGTTTATATAATTACAAACATAACAAAAGTAGTCATAAACCATTTATTTACGGTTCGACAACCATCAACAAGTACACAACCATATCTGAACAATTTCCACATAAATCGCAAACAGATCTAGGTGTAAGAAAATTAATATCAGCAACAAAAAACCCCAAACAATACCCCAGCCCAAGAGTTTGTTCTGCAGCCTCAGCTTTTGCAGCTGCAGTCAGTGAGGGTCCTGCTCTTCCCCACCAGGTTGAAAAAAAGGCTTAGCAAGCCAGGGAGCAGGTCTTGCAGGACTCACAGCCAAGATGGTCTCACTTGCAAAAGGATCTCATAGGACTGAAAGGAGAGTTGAGGCAGATAACTGTCCGTTCCTACTTGATTGCATTAACTATGGTAGATAATGAGTCCATAAAATCTTGGGTTTATTTAGCTCCAATGACTAGCGATCTTCAGCCACAGAAATAACCTTTTTATCATTAAATGTGCTTCCCGGTTCTCAAAAGCAGCCTTTTCTCTGGTTCCTATGCACCAAGTAGTGTTGTTAAATTAGCAATCACCTATTTTTAGAATGTGCTTATTTTCCAGAGATTATTACAGTCTCAGTCAATATTTAAGGAAGATAACACGGTTTGCATTTGTTGGAGCCTAGGATTCGTGGGTCATCACAGAGATTGTGGGGACTGATCTCAAGGCTACAGTTTGCTTCTTGGTGTTAATATAGGCAAGATCATTGATCCAAGCAAATCTCTCTCTCTCTCTCTCTCTCTCTGTGTGTGTGTGTGTGTCTATCTCACTGTGTTGGTTGAGTCATTCATAACAGCAATCAACAAAATTCTCCAGAATGCAAGTTTCTCCTTTTCAGACAGCAGTATTGCAATACCCAAGTCTTCCAGTCACTGAGACCAGCTGCTTTGGATGGGGGAAATGTGGATAATCAGATATAAGGATTAGTATGTCTGGAAAGCGGTCTACTTGCTGGGTCCCTTAGAAGGATTTTAAAGTGCAGATAAAGGTAAAGGTAAAGGGACCCCTGACCATTAGGTCCAGTCGCGGACGACTCTGGGGTTGTGGTGCTCATCTCACTTTATTGGCCGAGGGAGCCGGCGTACAGCTTCTGGGTTATGTGGCCAGCATGACTAAGCCGCTTCTGGCGAACCAGGGCAGCGTGTAAACTAAGGCCCAGATCCACGCCACATATTCAAAGCATGTATAACTTCTCCCAAAGAATCTTGGGAACTGTGGTATATTAAGGGTGCTTAGAATTGTGGCTCCGTGAGGTAGGAACTACAATTCCCAGGATGCTTTGGGGGAAATCATGTGCTCCCCATTGGCCTGAACCAGAGAGCACACACAGAAATGAGGCATGCTAAATGGAGTCAGCCTAGAAGACACTTTATTACCACCCATTAGGGAAGTGCATTTCATTTCATGCTGATGCTGTTTTCCCCAAGAAGTAGGAACAAAGGAAGCTTGCCTTATGCTGAGTCAGGCAGTTGTGGTTGTTTGGGTTACTAGGGGTTATTCAAAGCCAGTGATGGGAAGCCTGTGGGGCTTTCTAAATGTTGATGGGCTACGCTAGTTATCTATTGTTGTTGCTGCTGTTAAAAATACATTCATAAAAACAAAATAATAATTTTAAAATATATATATTGTTTTATGGGGTGATCAAAGTTGAAGTCTAACACCATCTGGAGAGCCACAGGGCGCCCGTTCCTGTTCTAAGCATTATTATTAATATAATTAATAACTATTATAATTTATTTACAACCCACACTTCACCTAAGATCCGGTGGCAGGTTATAGCATTAAAAAAATAGAAACAATTTAAAACAACTTGCAACCATCAAAATAAGATGGGTCCATGGAATGTTTCGTCAGGGCTGTTCTACCCACATTTGACACTGACTTGGCTATTAATTATGCAGTTTTATTATTTTATTATTATTAATTATATTGTTTAAATGTGCAGTTTATATTTGACTTCCTTTAGAAGTGTTTTATTCTGAAATATTTTAAGATTTCTTTTTGTTAACTTTGCCATGTTAATGTGCATTCTGTAACTGACCTTCTTTGTAATGCATTATTTTGAAACCTTTAACATAATATTTTAGTTTCCTGTTAATTGTGTTGCTTTGAATGTATACTTTATATTTGACTTTCTTCGGTCATGTTTTATTCTGAATTGTTTTGTTCGATGTTTTAAACTGTTCTGAGGTTTTTTCCTCTTAAAAATATAAAGCAGTATGAAATTAATAATAATAATAATCATTCCAGAGCAACCGTCAGAATGGCTGTTGGACTCAAAGGAACATTACACCACATGAAGGTTTCCCCCAGAACAAGCATGGATTATTTTACTCTCCAGTTATTTTCAGTTCCTGAAGAGATGGGCCAACTTGCTTCCCTATTGCTTCTGTGGTTGGCTGCGAAGCCTATTGTGAAAACCTTCAAGGTTACTGAGTACAGTCTATGACTCACTCATCTGTGCTAAGGACCAAGTGAAAACCATCAACACCACAGCTTGACAGGATTTCTATATCAAGCTCCCTGATCAGACTGCTGAACTTCCAGAGATGAATCTCTTTGGGGCAAAGTTATCAGTATCTACTGACTAGCATAAAAATGAATGGATGACACCAACAGAGCAGAGTTTACCACAGGGCACCACCTGAGTTACGGTATCTCAGTGTCTTTTTTGTTCTCAAGTTATACACTGCTAGTTGAGATACACTGGTGGGTGCCAAAGTAGTCCAGCCGACAGACTCCTGGATCTGGAAGTGGAAATGCCGGGTACAAACCCATGCTCACATTGATCCCTGCGCAAAGTTCTTGGACTCTCTGTCTCACCTCATAGCAGAGGTGGACAATATTTTGGGCAGTTGGGGACTGCATTCCTTCAGGAGAAAGTGGTTGAGAAACACATACCAGCAGTGGTGGGTGAGGTCAAAGTGGGTGGGGGCAAAGCATCAGTGTCCCTATTTTCCAGGGACAGCCCTAGATTTACAGAAGTTTCTGATTTGATCTTGGAATGTCCCACTTTTCCTTAGGGTGTCTCTATTTTCATCAGAGACACCTTGGAGGTATGGAGTTATGTGAACCCAATTATGGATGTTCTGATCTGTGTTGAGGTGAAAATATACCTGCATGCTGGCTCAGCCTATTTTTGGAAATGGTTGTTAATGGAGAAATCTGAGGGCTCCCTTGGACAAAAAAACAAGGACACCAGCCAGGAGTACCAGAGCAAAACAGCAGCGAGTAGACTTGGTCTTTATTGAAGACTATCGTGACAGGACTTCCACCTGCCACAAGGTGAAACAAGATGGAAGCCCCGAACAAAAGAGCACCCAAGCTTTTATTAGCTGCTAATCCCCATGTTACATCCCCCCCAAAACTACATCACTAATACATCATGGTTACATCATGAAAGGGGAGGTCTGGTGGCAGTAATCTGAGCATCCCCATGGTTCTCCTTGCCTTCCATCAAAAACCCATCAAGTGTAATAAAAGATATATTTACATTTCCCTGTTTCCCAGCCAAGTTAATCACACCTTTTTGTCTTCATCTGGGTTTGTTATTTCTGGAATGGCTACCTGTCTGGCACTCAGGTATCAGGATGCCAGGAATTATCACTCAGGCAGAGGGGCTGCTGAGTAGCTGAGCTCACATGTCTATATGAATTTCTGAAGTTTTCCCAGTGAGCCAGTACATAGATACATTTATCAGTGAATTCTTACATTTGGTATTGTGCAGCAAAGGCCCTTTGAATAGATAGGAAGAAAGAAACTGTGACGAAGTGTTTTGTGGGGACAAATCACAAAAGTCACATAAGAGATTTTGCTGATTTTGGTAGTGTGCTGCATGTGCATGATATCTGGAGGGGCAACCCCCCCCAACCTATACATAAATTCCTGCAACATGGTAAACTGCACTATGTCCATCTGGTGGAACTTCCACATGGCTATACCCATCCCCCGATGCTCTTGCTCCCAGATGGGAGAGGCCGGTGAAGCAGAAGCTGTAACCTTGAAGATGCCATGCTTGGGAACATTCTGGCTCTTGGGCATATTTCTCAGAAAGCATTTTCTTAAGCAGGCAAAATCAACACAAGGTTTCAGAGAAGAAGCATTTCCAAGAGGTGGGTGGAATGCCACTATGTGCTATGTATCAACTGATATGCTGACTGACCTCTGGGGAAGGGCCCAAGCTCTGTGGTAGAACATCTCACTTATGTGCAAAAGTCCAGATTCAATCCCTAATGTCCCCAGTCTCAAACTCTGGAGAGAAGTGTAGATAATACTGCACTGGATGGATTTATGCTCTGACAAGGTATGAGACAGCTTCCTAGGTTCTTTGCAGATTTCAGAATAGACTGTGGAGTTTTATTGCTCTACACAGCTACCCTGGGCCTAGGAAACAGAAGTGGCGTAGTTTAGGCAATAGGGAGATTATCAAATTGGCTAGTGGGGTAAAAGGAGCTTTCAGGAGACATTTGCTTGTGAAAGCTTAACAGCACATTTTTTTGTGCACCAGGAAAGTGATAGATAACAGCGCAGGAAGCGAAAGAGCCTTTGCAGGTAGCAAGGGGTTAATGTTCCCAGACGACCAAGCTGGACAGGTCAACAAGTTGCCTAGCAAGCGCACGAGTTTAAGGGCTGCACGAGACGATGCTGCAACAGGAGGTCACAATCGTTCATCTAAAGATTAACTAGGAGGCTGCGTGGCGACGGGATCCTCCTGGAGGTCCCCACCCCACCCCGCTCCTCGCCCAATCAGAGAGAAGCCCAGCCACGCTCAGCGACCAATACGGGATCGGTTACCTTCTGCCACCCACTGCAGCCAATCCGGAGCGTGCAATGCAGTTGATGGTCTGGTGGGCAGGGTCTCTTCGTGGGTTTAAATCCTGCGTTAAAGTGCTCCGGATAATAATAATAATAATAATAATAATAATAATTCCATTGCGCGAGCATAGCAGGCCTGTTGGGGGGTGGGGTGAACAGCTGAGCCGCCTTGCTGGAGAACCTCGCAAAATACTGCGATCACTGCAAGGGTTGCTATTTACATACCTCCCGATTCCACACTTGCTCTCTTTGCGCTTCTTCCCCTGCTCGCTCTTTGCAGCCAGCTGACTGCAAACATCGCCAGCCGGAGGAGGAGGAGGAGGAGGCGTGGCGAAGATCTGGCCTGCCAGCCAATCCGGGCCGCTCGTTCTCCCTCGACGTCACCTTCCCTCGAACCTGCAGCAGCAACAATAACAATAACAGACGAGATCTCTCCCTGGGGTCGATCAGCTGGGCGTGCGCGGCTGGCTCCCGAAACAGGCAGCAGCTGCTACTGTCAGCGGCGTCAGCGGGAAGAGAGCAGCCGAGAGAGAGACTCCAAAATAGACGCGCTTCTTTCCCAGGAGCCATGTCGTCGAGCGAGGGGCTGGGGGTGCAAGAGGAGAACTTGCAGGGTAAGGGATCGGCCTTCTTGTCATGAAATCAGTATGGTCCTTAAGGTCCCTCTTTACCATTGGGCCTCTACTGGGAGAAGTCTTGCTGGGGTGGGGGGTGGGAGGCAGGGAGATAGGCTCTTCTTCTTGGCTGATCAGAGGCAGAGATATTGGGCATTCCTGATCGCCTGGTTTCTGAACCCCAGAGATTTCTCCAAGTCACTCTTTCTTTGTTTTCCTTTTCTCCCCTTCCCCCTAACGGTGGTTGCGATTCTGAAATTCGTGGGGAAATGGCACTGGTAGGAGAAGCAGACGGATAGGATGGCGAAATGCCAGGGTGAAAGCTTGCCCCCGTTTCCTGGCCAAGGCCCTCTCGGTTTGGTGGGGCTGTCGATAACTTGACTTCTCTCTAAGATTTGGAAATGTGCTGCTGCTGCTGCTGCTGCTCCTTCGCCTCGCACCGACCGTGTAATGCTCCTGGCCAGCTGAAGTGCCAACCAGGAGGGCAAGTATTGTTCAGACACAGGGCTGTGTAGCTCAAGGCCTTCGAAGTACAGAACGGGCAGATCCAGGGCACTTTTTTTTTATTGTTGCGAGAGTCATCCCTGCTCTCTCCCATCCGTTCTCATGACACCTTTGCCTGCATGACTCATAGGCCCTTTACTCAGAACTTTGTGCAACGTTTGTGGCTGTAAATAATTGGCCTTCGGAAATTATTGACATACGGTGCTTGTTCAAGGAGCTGCAGTCCTGGGTTTTATTACCAACATACAATGAGAAACCTGAAGGTAGATTGTAACATGAAAGGGAATTTCCCTGTTGACTTCAGTGGGATGTAGATCGTACCAGTAATTGGATCATTAAGTAATAATAACAGTACCAGGGTGTATTGCTAAATATGAAGTCTGTTGCAAAGCGGATGTGCTGGTATTGATTTATATTATTCTTATTGTTGCACTGTTTAGGGAAGCTTTTAATATTTGATGAATTATTGTATTTTAATCTTTTGTTGGAAGCCGCCCAGAGTGACTGGGGAAACCCAGCCAGATGGGTGGGGTATAAATAATAAATTTATTATTATCATTATTATATAGTCAACTTTCTACCAAGCCTGAAATGATTTTCGCTACACATCACCTGATTCTTGCGAAGCATGTGATTTCATGTATGTGCAATTAACATGCGGAGTTAAATGTGCTGTGGACTGTGCTATACAAAATGTTTATGAGCTCCCTAGATGTAGCGCTGCAAAAATAATTATGTAGGAAGCAAAAATCTTCCAGTCTGTACCGTTGTGATCTTAATACATTCATTTAGGTCTGCCCCACCTACACTGTAGTGACTAGAGCTGATGCATATGCCCCATGCTCCTTAAAAAAAAAAAAAAAAAAGCTTAAGGGAAGTGAAATCAAACTAGCAGCTGTAAATATAACACTTGCACAGTATGTGAAACATCCTATTGCACCATCAGCCATACTTTTAGATTTCTTTTTAAATTTTATTTGCTTGCCTGGTATTTTGAATGTGTAGGGTACACTGGCAGAATTCTTGCTGGGTTGTAGTTGTATTTTTCTGAAATACAAAACAAGGAGAAAATAAGTTGTAGTTTGTAGTCTTTTCTAAACTCTACTTCAGCTTATTTCCCACGATCTGTGGAAGAACTTCTCCTGCAAGTTCCAGATTTTCAGAAGCCTGCTCTATAGTTACTCATAGGAGACTTTTAGTGTGGCTGCCCTCTTCTGTGAAATAGCATTCCTGTTGCTCCATGGCAGGCACCAACTATCTGCACTTTCCAAGCTAAAGAAATGAGTCTTTGCTTTCTCTGTTTTGTATGGTGTCAGTTTTGTTTTAAATGTGTTTACTGTTTGTTTGTTTGTTTGTTTGTTTGTTTGTGTGTGTTTAATTTCTTTAAATTGTTTTTATTGTACATCACCTTGGGGCTGTTGCGTAGAAGGCAATTAATACATTAATGACAACGATATCAAATCTGACTGCCACCTTGTGCTTCTGTTAGCTGGCTTCTCTTCCCCTCTTTCTGCGGCAGAAATTCAACTGGTGCAGCTCCCCTCACAGAATGGGATTCTGTTGCTTGGGAAAGCTTCAAGACCTAGCAGGCAGAAGCACAGGCTGGCAGCTGTCTGTTTATGCCATGTGACTGAAAACTGTTGGTGCCTTTTATAACTTTTGTTTTGAAAGAGGGTATTTCACAATTCCCAGGGACTGTTTATTTTTCAAAGTGACCCAGAAGGACTTGTTTGCTCAGGAGATATTATGTAGTAGGTGGTATAATATATAATCTGTAGGCTATTTATAGCTTCAATCTGGCAACAGGGATGCCTGCGGTTGTTTGACATGTTGCTTGTGCTGGTCCCCCCCTCCCCTTTTTTTTACTTCCTTCCTTCTCCTGCTACTAAGCATCCTGGGGATTTTAGTCCCCAGAAGCAGGCCACAGACAAGGACAATGAACTGATTTGTAAGATGCTGCACCTAAAATCGATTCTTTTGATTTTGCATAATAAAAGACTTACTGAATCTGAACGGAAAGATTCAAAATGCTGTATAATCAGTCTCAGCCCCCATATCCACATTTAATTTTAAAAACCAGCATTTATGGTAGGGATTGGAGACATGCAGTATTCGGATGCTGTTTCTTCCACAGGGAAAAAGTGGCAATTTCTCACATACTGTTCTTAAGCTATGGACACCCGTATTTCATTTGTGGTGCAAAGAAGTAGTTTTGCTCAATAAAGAACCACAAATACTTGTCTTGAACAGGCTGCTTTCCATCTAGATTGTTTCTGCATCCTGCCCTCCACAAGAGTGGGTGTGTGTTATGTACTGAGTTGAATAGGATCCAAAATGCAGCAGTCTGATTGGTCCTAGAACAATAGGATTCAGAATGCAGCAGTCTGAGTGGTCCTAGAACAATGCAGCACTATGATTGGTTGGCAGGAACCACCCAATCATGCTCCAGATAGAAGTGAATCCACAACCTGATTGGCTTACAGTAGAATTCCGGAATTAGCCAATCATGTGCAGCCCATTGTGTAAATAATGTATATAAAGCAGATACTTTGAGGGGACTTTTATTCATTCCTCCTCACCACTATGAGCTGAATAAAGAGCATGAAATCACTTTGCGACTCTGAGTATATTTCAGTGTGGTTACGTCCTATAGACTTGAAAACCCTCCCCTTGGTTAGATTAGCTATGCCTTTTCTGCCCTGCATATGCCTCAGGTGAAGAAGGAAGTGGCGATTGTGGTCTTCGTATATGCTGGCCCACAACGTCCTTGGGCAGCTGCCTTCATCCATTTTCAAATGGACGCTCTGGTGGGTAATGCAGAATCAATTCAGCTTTTATTTTTGGAATGAGGTCAGTTTGTGGGAAAGTGCTTTTCAGGGGCATGAAATATGTAATAGGTCCATATTGTGTGCCAGCTAGGTAGAGGGAACCCCCTCCCCCAATATCCTGGTGTGCATTGAATGTAGAATATAATGTTGTGTGCATGGAGCCTTATATCTGTCAATATCTAGCTGAATTAAAATTGTTCTTTTCCCGGCACTGTGGCTGATGGAAAGACAACCCATTAATGTATAAAGCAGCCCAGGACTTGCAATGCTTAAAAAGGAAAAAGAAAAACAGAGTTTGTTTGTTAATCCAGATTCCAAGCCAAGTATCACTACCATGTTTGGAATACTGAATGCATTTTCTGCTACTAAGCATCCTATTCACACTTTGTGCCTGAGGTGGATCATTTCCCCCCTTGGAGGTCCTCTTCTACCCCTCTGGTAAACAAAGTAAATCAAGATAGGTCAGCGTATTTGATAGCCCATTTCTGACTGGTTCATCTGACGTCCCTAATCTTCACATGCTTTTTTTGCAGATTTCATACACAGGTAGGGTCTTCTGCTGTGGGAACTAGGTGATCTATGAAAGGACCATCAAGTGTGGTGCTGGTGTTGAGACAGCATAGGGTGAAGACCTAACTCCTGTGCTCTGATGGTGACTGAAAAGGCTTCACCATTGCAGGATCCTATTAGAGCAGAGATTTATTATTAACAGGCAGTACGCTGCTCATTTCCTGGAATGCAAGAAGGAGGCCATTAAGCCAGGCTTGGAACAGAATGCCAGCAAATGAAACTGCTTGAAGGCTTCCTAATATGCAATTGTGTGGCTTTTGTTTTGTTTCTGAACATATGCCCAGCAGGTTCCTGGGTGGAGCTGCACTTTTCCAGCAACGGGAATGGTAACGGTGCCCAGCCAACAAGCCAGGAGCAAGGCCCAGCCTCGATTTCTATTCACAATGGCGACATGGAGAAAATCCTTTTAGATGCCCAGCATGAGTCTGGAAGAAGCAGCTCACGAGAGAGCTCCCATTGTGACAGGTACAACAAAAGAGAGAGCACTTGCTCTTTTCAAAGGATGCACTCTCCTATTTATTTGCATGTAGTCTTAAGAGGCTGGCAGATCTGTGAGATGATGTAAGTGGCCCTGATCCAATCAGGGTCTCTGGCTAAGAGCTGAGGCCACTCCCATACCTTCCAAGTGTCCCCATTTTCCAGGGATAGTCTCGGAATTATGAAAGCTGTCCCAGCTTCTGATTTGGTCCTAGAATGTCTCTATTTACGGACTTGTATAAGAGTAAAAGACAATTGGGAAATGATCCATAATGAATTGGGGGAAAAAAATGTTTAAAAGTACTTTCCTAAAAACCCCAGTGTCCTTTCTGTTGCGGATAATTCAGACTGAAATTCCCAGGTGTCAAAAATGGTTATTTATGTATGTGGCCTGTGTTTTGTTAGCCCCAAAATGAAAAAAAAAAGTGATTTGGGTACTGTTGATGTAGTGATGGTGGCACTTGCCCATTGTCTGATAGGAAATGCTTTGCGGGGGTGGGGACGCACAAAATGGAGGCTCAAGGAGGGTCAGTTGGCGGGGAGTGAGAAATGAGGAATGTTGGAGGGTATGCACTCCCAGAACTTCAGCATTCTTCTTCTGTGCTTATCTTGAGAGTATTTATTTCCTCCATTTTAATCTTCCAAGTAGCTCAGAAGGCATGGTTCTTCACAAAGGCACACCCACCCGCATGTTTTGTCCTCACAACAACCCTGTGAAGTTGGTTAGGCTGAGAGATGGTGGCTGGCTTAGTGGCGGAGTTGTGGCATCTGAATCTGAACTGCTTTGGTCCTGCAGTGAAAGCAACGAAATCTAGAAACCTTGTTCTATGTGGGTTAATGCCCTGTAACTTCTCTTTACCAAGTCCTCCTCGATCCCAGACGCCTCAGGACATTCACAGAGCTTCTGAAGTCGAAAGCCGTGGCAGCGGAGAAAAGAATAGCTCTCAGGTAAAGCCGAGCCTTTTCTGAAGATTGCCAGATGGCCGAGAGCCTTTTTCAAGCCATCGAATGGTCTGGTACGGGGATGGGGAACCTGCAGAAATGACCAAAGAAGTTGAATAGGTGTCCCCCCCCCCCGCCCCACTTTAGAAATAGCATCCAAACCAATTGATTATATCTCTCCTTCTTTTAGTCTGAGGAAGATTTTCAGGAAAGAAGGAAAGAAGTTGAACAGCTTTTGAAGAAAAATTCTGACTGGATGTGGGACTGGTCCAGCAGGCCTGAAAACATTCCACCCAAGTAAGTGTGACAGAAGCTGCCTTGATTCCCGCTGATATGTACAGAATATGGTGACAGACATTTACAGATTGGATTCTTTCTTTTCTCGTCACAAATTAGGGAATTTCTGTTTAAACACCCCAAGCGTACTGCTACCCTCAGCATGAGAAACACGAGTGTGATGAAGAAAGGGGGCATCTTCTCTGCGGAATTTTTGAAGGTTTTTCTGCCATCTCTGTTGCTTTCCCATCTGCTTGCCATTGGATTAGGGTAAGGAGTCCTTCAGTCAATTAAATGTGGGGATTGTAGGGGACCAGAAGTCTAGTGTGCTTCTCCCAGAAACATAACCAACTTATGTGTTGACTAATTTACACGAAGAGAGAGTAACACAGAAATACAGTGCTCATTTTTTTTAAGGCAAAGAGATGGTTTTATAGTTGAAAAACTAGGCTCACTATGCTTTGCCACACTTCCAAATGTTTTGATCCATGGCAGGGATGGGGAACCTGATTTTGCTGGACTACAAATCCCATCACTGACCATGCTGGATGGGTCTTTTGAAGTCCAGCATCTGGAAGACCGGCTCCCCATTCCTGATCTACAAGATAACTTGCAGTGAAAACTCCATCAAAATGTAATTTACCCATCACAATCAAATATGGTTACATGGACAGAATCTGCATTCAGGGAATCATTCAATAAGCCTTTGGGGTGATATTTGAGGTTTATGGTAGACACTGGTATTATAAAACAAAATGGGGTAAAATCTCTTCCTTTTTTTAAAGTGATGACAGCAAAAAGAAGACAGATCTGTGCTATATAGATATAGGGTGATGATCAGTCTTCAGATATTAGAATGTGCAGAAATGTAATTGCTGCTGAGTGAATGGCAGCAATGGAATGGCATTTCCTTCATCCCAGATTGCTGGCAGCCATGACATTTTATCACAGCTATAAAACACGAAATCTGACTTTGTAGTAGCTTTGCCTTTGATCCTTGAAGTGGACCAGATTTTACCCCCACCCCCAAGTTTGTTTTTTCAGTGCCTCGGTATTTCGCATTTTGTCATCTAATGCGAGTGGCGTAGAGATGTGTGCAAGGTATTGAGTGATGTCCAGTGCTGTGCATCTGGAGTTCCACTCATGCATCAAAACTTCCCCATTTTCTCCCTGCACTCTGCCAAACCCCCCCGGGGCAGATTTTGAGGGTGGCAGGTGGAAGGGAGGCCAACAAGAGGAGGAAGTTCTGTTCTATAAGCAGAAATCTGCTATACACAGCAGCAGATATATAAGCAGAAATCTGCTATACACAGTAGGCACAGCAGCACTGGATGCTAATCCATTGGAAACAGACATCCAATGGAGGCTATTTCAGCCGTGCAAGTAAGCTCACAACTATTACTTGCTCGCATGGACGTGACCCAGATGGAGCCAATTTTTCCAAGCTTACAAAAGGCTTCCTTGAAACTGCCTAGAAAATGATAAGGCTCCCACCATCAGGAAGTGTGTGAGGAAAATGTGCTTCCAGCCCCTTATCCCACAGGGTTCAGCAGGCCCCTCTAACCCTCCAGGTGTGTTAGGATGGGAAGCTTTCCTTTCTTCGGTTAACCCAGGGGTTGTCAGCCTGGTCCCTATTGCCCACTAGTGGGTGTTTCAGGATTCTGGGTGGGCGGTAGGGGGTTCTATGGCACAAGCGGAATCCTCCTTCCATCGAGCACTGGTGGGCGATAAGAAAATTTTACCATCAAGAAAGATGCATTAGTGGGTGGTAGTTATAAAAAGGTTGACTACCCCTGGCTTAATTCTTCCTCCGTGTAGGTAACCAGCTGCTTAGAAAGCTGGATCATTTGTGGTATCAGGTATATTTACCTACCAGATTCCCACTAATTTTATAGCATAGTGAGTAGTCAAAGTAAGAGGAAAAGGGGGTTCACTACCATCTGATTCCCTTTCAAAATTAAGCAGAGCAGTTACTGGCTGTCTTTTTGTTGATCTCAGGATTTATATCGGAAGACGGTTGACAACTACAGCTTACAGCAGCAGTTCGTTGTAAGATGGGAACAAATCTTCATCTCCTACAAAAACCATGACTACATTCATCCAGACATGCAAAATGGTGAACGAAAAGGAACTCCTGTGCGTGCAGAAGTGACACAGCTATGTATGTTTTGGTCCCTAAATGTTGTGTGCTCTTGGGGCTTTTTCTAATTGTAGAGGGAAAGATTGAAAACCAACACCAAACGACTCCTTTGTAAACTAACCTCTTGTTGCTCAAGTCATCAAAGCAAATTTTTGACAGAAGGTCTTTAAATGAACTGTGTGTTTGTGAACAAGATGTCTATATTGAAAATTATGTAGCAAGGGATTAAACGGTTCGTCTTGTTTCACTTTTGTAAAAAAGAAATTGGTTTGGGTTGTTGTTGGTACAACTTGATTGAATAGCAAGAATATTTGGTCAAGAGTATTATGGCCTTACATTTCTAAAGGCTGGAGTCTGTGAAGCAGTTTAGTGATTTTCTTTAAGATACCTCTCTAAATCCTAAATACAGGTTTGTGTGTTTTAGTATGGGATCTTTCCATTATGTTTTAAAAAGGAAAATGTATATGCAACAGAAGTAAAAGTAGTGAGGTAAATAAGCCTGCAACACAGAGTTTATACAGTGGTACCTCTGGTTACGTACTTAATTCGTTCCGAAGGGTCCGTTCTTAACCTGAAACTTCTTAACCTGAAGCACCACTTTAGCTAATGGGGCCTCCCGCTGCCGGAGCACGATTTCTGTTCTCATCCTGAAGCAATGTTCTTAACCTGAGGTACTATTTCTGAGTTAGCAGAGTCTGTAACCTGAAGCATATGTAACCTGAGGTACCACTGTATATCCAGTGATTACCCTTGCTGAGGTAAACTCAGCCAGTCACAGTTTAAGAATGGCAGACCCGCTGAGCCCAAAGCCTTGTTTTCCCTCATGTCTGATACTCAGAGGTATCTGGTCTTAACAATTTTCTTGAGAATTACCCATTAATGAACTTTTTACAGGCACATGTGCCTTAGTGCAAGCTTATCACTAGGCTTCAGTGCAGGTTTTAGCAATTGGCCCATTTGAAATCAAGTTTTACACAAGGATGAACATGTGCTAAACATTTGCAACTTACACTTCTTTTGCCCATCTTGAATCTTTGCAAGTTTAACAATGGTTTTAAATACAAAACTCCACTCGTTTGTGATTTTACCAGTTAAATAAGTTTTGAATATCATCACAGCCTTACTGAAAAGCAGCAAGGAATGTTGTTTTTGCAGAAACTTCTTATGAGTTAAATAGATGCTTGTGTATGGTACTACAATATTTACAACGATCAATCAAGGCATTTTGGTAGTCAAGCACTTCCAAAGACAAGTATATTTTCCAATACTCTATTGATATAGCCTAGAATAGCATTAGCCTATTTCTTGTTGCATCACTGTTAAGCTTAGGGTTTACTAATATCCCTAGATCCTTTTCACATGCTCCAATGGCAAGCCAGATGTTCCCCATCTTCTATTTGTGCGGCTGGCGATTCTTACATTTGTCCTTATTGAAATTAATTTTGTTTGCTTGGGCCCATTTCTCTAATCTGTTAAGGTCATCTTGAATCCCAATTCTGTCTTCTGCAGCATTGACAACTTCTCCCAGTTTGGTGTCATTTTCTTGTGTAAGTAGTCTAAAAATAACTTGATTAAATGAATGTGGTGAGCCACTGGTGTGCCTTTGTTTCGCCAGTCACCAAATTGCTTCATACGGAAAGATGACTCTAAGCCATTTTACTATTAATAGGTGGGCATTCTAACTGATGGAAACTTTCCTGCTTGCAAGGACTTACCTACGCCCAGCAGTGGAAAAAGCAGCCACACAAGTACAAAAGCATATAGACATGCGAAGCTCTCTCCTGCTAGAGTGAATATGCAGAACTGCTTCCTTAGGAACTCCATAAATTTCCTTGCTGTGTCTGAACGCATGGCTTACAGTAAATCCATTAATTTTGTTCAGTTACCCATTTGGACTTCTTACATTAATTTATACCTTTGAATCAGGATGAATGGAATATTCTTAATGTCAGCTGGCAATGGTTTAATTATTGAATTATTTATCCCCCCCCCCAAATTTGCAAATAAAAAATCAGGGGTGGAATGAATACAAAGTATGGGGACAATGCTGTGTATTTCTGGGCTTTAATAAAATCATTAAAGACCATTACTTTACTGTTTTGCAAATTTGAGTAGATAAGGCACATTTAAAGAAGAAACCCATCTTTTTAAACTGGACATTGTACATAAAATGAAGTGGTAGCTTTGTTTTGATTTAGCAAAAGGAGTTAGGCAGTAAAAAAAAAAGGATTCTTGATTGAAGCTGCCTGTTGCCATTGTGTATGTACTGCATACGAATCTCATTTATTTAGTGGGAGTTTGTGCAACTATCGTGCTAGAATAGTACTGTTTTGGCTTTCACAACATGAATGGAGAACATCTAGAACTTCATCTTCTGGCAACTCACAAAGTCGAAAAGCTGTGAAATACTCCACTGAATGTATATTACAAGTTTATTGCTAGTATACAAAAACAATAAAGCGAGTAAATATTTCACTGCTTTTGAATTATGTGTTATCAGTAGTCAAGATGTGTGAAATGAGGAAGAGGTGCTGCTAAGGATGTTCAGTTGTCAAACGTTTCAAAAATAAAATCCAAAGGCAAGGCAGACTTGCTAGCAGAGAAAGAGTGCAATATTGCCATGGGCTTCATCCCTTACCATTGGCATGTGGCCTAGAGATAAACTCCCCATCCCTGCTGTGGAAGTTAGGCACTTCGGTGCCGTCGTCACTAGCACGGAACATAGCTATCTAAAGGCAGAATAATCTTTGTAGAATAGAATTTGGGAACCAAATGCCTTTATATAGAAAAAACTTCTCAGAACTCTAGCATTTAAAAAATGAGCAAGCAGGATATTGAATTATATTCATCTTTGTTCAACATGTCGGAAGTCTAGGGAGACCAAGAACCCTATTCTTTTGTGTGAATAAAGAAGTTTGATGGGTGTGAAGTTGGGGTGAAATATGGGGCCATGATTTTATGCCAATTTTCTGCAGCGTTAGCTGTGGAGGAACCAAACTGCTAACCGATCAGGCGAGGCCAACCGTGCCGCATGAAAGGGGGTGGGTTTTAAGTCCACCCTTCTGTCAGTTCCACCCATAAGTGTTAAGAAAAGTCTTCCAGACCCACCCCAAATGGAACCATACTGAGTTTACAGGCCACAGAAGGCAAATTGCTTTTCACCAAGGGTACTCGCCAAACCCTAATCTGTAGAAGTCCTACACGTACCAGCCACAGAAAAGGACAAGCCTCTACTTAGTCCCTCTTCTCCCACCTGCAGCAAATTACGTTGCACACTGCAGATCACTTAGGAAGTTGCTGAATTACAACTTATCACTAAACTGAAAACTATGGAGAGACCTGGTCAATAGAGATATTGGATTCCTGTCTCATTACATATGCTAATCATCTGCATACTATCCCTTGCTTTTTCCTGTAGGACTAATTGCAGTTGTTAAGTCATCAACAGATTTACCATACCCACTGAGTCAATCACCCATCTCCTGCTACCCTCCTGAGAAAAAACCCACCCCACCCTCCCACTATATATAAGGGTCTGGTGACGTCTGTTGCAGTGTATCTGAAGAAGTGTGCATGCACACAAAAGCTTGTACCCAGAACAAACTTAGTTGGTCTCTAAGGTGCTACTGGACATTTTAAAAAATAAAAATAAAAATATTGCTTATTTTTCTTTTTTTATTGTTACTCATATTGGAGAAGTGAGCCCATTCAGCTGCAAAGTTCCATCTTAACATACTGGTGAATAGTATCATGCAGGATTGCAACCAGGGCTTGCTGGGCTTCCCTTTTTATCTTCTGACATGCCCAATTAAGATAGCTGGGGGTCACCATAATCCTGACAAACCCACCTTGGGGGAGCTCCAGCCCACACAATCAAGGCCCTGGGTCACCACTGTTGTAGGACCCGGAATTCCAAATAGGCTTGAACACTGACCTTCAGCAACTGCAAAAGTTTCCACCCAGGTAAATGACCGAAATATGAGAGGGTTGAACAATGCTGGCAAAATGCACTTTCATTGTATACCATGCCTACCCAACCCACTGCATACATGCACTTTCGCCAAGCCCAAACTGGATTCCATGAGCATCTTGCCACACCGTGTGATTGGCCCAGAAACACCAAACTGTGGCCACAAATGAGCACCAGTACCCTCCAAGCACCTATCAAAACAAAAGCAAGGAAGGGAACAAGCACACTTCTGCAAAACAGTATTAGCCAGGGCCCTTGAGCGGCCCATCGTAAGGATACAAATGCCCCCGTTTTCCAGTGACCCATCATCAGTTCCAAAACCCAGACTGGTAGATGCCGAAACACAGCCAATTTGAAAGGAATGTGTGCCAGACTGTCAGCAGGCCTCTCACCCTGAATGCAGCCAGCTGTAGTCATAAATTGGGAGCCAAAGTTCAGGCTCCTTCCTGGCCCAGTTCAAATTGGGATCCACAGCTGCCTGCATCCTAAATGACTCTTCATAAGCCAGCCAGACAGCATCTGCATATTTATGGTAAGATCTGAATGTGATTATCCAGATGCTTCAAAAGGAGGGGAAGCCCTCACAATATGCCTGAATTTATATTCTCTGAAATTATACCGTAACTCAAATAGTACAGCACTGCCTATGCATTAAAGCTCTCACAGACCTAAAAATTAAGATTCAAAAAGTTGAATGCAATATTACTAAGTTGATTCTACTGGGAAAGCTAAATGTTCCTACATTTCATCACAATTGCTTTATCATTCAAATGGGTGGATGTTACAGAAAAGATGAAAAAGCTGAACATGACTATCTTCATTGTGAATCAACAGTACTTTTCAAGGTGCTGTAAAAACATAAGCACACATTTTAATAATACGAAGCAATCCAAATACATGCAAGACTGATAGTATGATTGGAACCAGGAAAATGGAGTCTAACTCCAATTGCAAAATGTTCAATATTGAGTATTAAATACCTTGCTCAGGCTGGATAACACAGCGACTTGGATTCTCACGTTTCTGTTCTGTGAATGAAAGAATCCCTTTCATTTACTGAGGAAAAAACTTAGAATCCAACCCATTTACATTAAATGCACAATTCAAAGCTATCCCTTACACCAAGAGACCTCTGACTTAGTCACAGCAAGCTTCTTTAAGCATTTCATGTTTCTCAGCTATTTCAACTAACAGCTTTGCAAAACAATTAACTGCTACGATTTAGTAGGGGAGTAAGAAGAGGACATGCAAACAGTCTAGCATTAAAAGCATTGAAAACATTTTTAAAAATCTGAAATACGGAATCATAGCATCTTCCAGCATACACCTAAATGGGCCCAAAGAATGCTATAGAAAGCAGTAGACATGTCACATCTATGCAAAGAAGTGTGGCTGGCATCCATCTGTCTCGGGGTGTAAGCTACTCTCATGTAGCAGCCACTTTGTACAGTGAAAATAACATTGAACATTCTGAAAGACATTGGACAATTCAGATGAAATTTTTTGGGGGAAGAGTACATTGAAAAAGTTTCAAAGTACACAGAGCAAGTGCAGGTAAACATTTAAAATTTATTAAACTTTTTGGTCAAAATAATTGAACAATTATGTACAATCCCATTGTATTTACCTCATGTATTTTAAGGAACAAAGTCAATCTAATGGTTAAATGACCTAACCGTTCCACATTTCAAGATTTGCAAATAGTGTCACAACTGATATACAGTATACGATTTTTAATCTTTATCTTTAGAAACCCCAAATTAGTATTTATTATTGTATCGCGAACAAGAGTGGCACTCTATGGACGTTAATTGATAGGGTAGGAACAGAGACATGCTGCTCTTGCATATTCATATCGGACTCTAGCAATCATATTAAACCTTCATTTCTTTAAAATTCGAGTGTAAACCACACACAAGTATTTCACCCTGGAAGCTTAAAGGGCCTGAATTTTAAGGAGGATTTCATAGGCACATTTAGTAGGAAGTCTGGAGCAAGTGATAGTACTTGCGCTAGTATTTAAGATACTTGATGCTATTAAAAGTGTGCCCACTCTTTTTGTGTGTACAAGTTTTCTCCCACAGAAGCTTACAGTGAAATACTGGGAGTTAATCACGTATCTTCTAGGAGCGAGAGAGACCCCATAACTTTTCTGCAGCCCCCTATTGCTAGTGGAAACTCAGTATTCTACAAATATATTTTCACATCAGTATTCAGCCTCAATACAGCTTGATCTCCTGGTGTTACAGACCTGGAGTAAGAGTTAAAACATGTTTAAGTTGTGCTCCTGTTTGGCATAATCAAGTTTAAAAACATACACATATGAATTGCAATGGAAAGTTTTATATGCCTATGCTTATGCCCAGTTGTAATATTTTTCAAAAGTGTACTCTATGGAACAAAAAGGACTAAAGGTTAAAAAAAGAAGTAGTAGTAATGCACATTAAGGTATGCTTCTCAAATGTTGAGGCATGTTTACTGTTAAACCAGAGCAGTGATTTGTTGAAGGTTTTGATGTAAAAGACCATCTTGCTCCTTTAAGGCTGTATATAACTTTAAACAAGTACTTTACACTTTGTCTTTTCTGCGCACCTTATGATGCCCCCCCCTTTCTTACACAAAAAACTAATACAAGCTAAGGTGATGACAACTGGAGAAAAAAATTCAGTTTAGTGTTTGAAGCAGTAGATACTGCTTTAAACTGCTTATACTGTCAAAAAATGGATAGTATTCAATTAAGTTCTACTCAGAGTAGAGCCATTGAGATTAATGAGCCTGTTTGTCTCGTGTCTTAATTTCAATGGGCCTGTTCAGAGCAGGACTAGCATTGGATACAACCTAATATTTTTGGGACAAACTATTTTCAAATCTTTCCGTCAGAGTTATTTTGCACAATCTCAATACATGCAATAAAAAAGACTGAATACATACTTTCAGATTTAAAAACACTTTTTATAGTTTGTTATTTTTATTAAGTGGTTTACACCGGAAGGTGTGGTTATAGATACAGTTGGTGAGTAAATATACATGAAAAACCTGTCTACACACCCAACTCTAGACTTACCTATATGCTCAAAGGTAGAAACACCTAAAGCTTAGATGAAGGCCAGAGAAAGAATGTTTACAGGCATAAAGCACAAATATATGTTTTGAAAGGCCCAAATATTACAGCAGATAAAGAGCACGTGAGATAGAAATTACATTTTTATGACAATTTGTTTCTTGGGTGTTAGATTTTTGGTCTATCAACTGGAAAGGAAGGCTCAGACTTAAATAAATACATTTGTTTTGAATATTGGCCTTTATTGAGTATTGTCCATCAATTCTGCTTCTAGTGGGCTTTTTTTCGTTTACAAAAATTCAATTCCACGTTCTCCCTCACTGAAGGCAGAAATACACCATGAACTCAAGTCCAGGCCAGCTTCTCTCCTTTACCTATAAAGGGAAATAAGTGCATCAATGTTCTTTACTGGGAGGACAACAAGGCCATCTCTCTGACAGATAAACAACTGAGCTTAACTATGCAAGACGACAACTTTGTCCTCAGATAAGCCGTCTTTAATTAATTTTGTCCTGGAATATATACAAGTTATTGGTGGCAGCTACAGCAATGATGTTCTCTGCAGGGTGCCATGCTGTATGAAGGATCTTCTTATTGAAGTCCAGACTGTCAACACTTATTTCATCCTTCTTTCTCTTGCCACCTGTGCACACTTTCCGGGGCTTTAAGATAGCACGAGGTTTGCTACTTTCTCTTGAAGCCTCTAATGTAATATCTCGCCGTGTGTTTCGATCAAACATCCTAAAGAAGTTGTTGTATGAGCCAGTCATAATAGCACTGCATTGGAAAAGAGAAGATAACAACTTTTTATTCATCGCTTACTACTGATAGGTAATGTCAAGTTACTTGCAATTTTAGGAGGATTGCAATTTCCTTTTCCTTACTATTTATTTATTTGTTATTACTAGTTTGTTCTTCATCAATGGGTCTCAAGGAAAGATAACAACAAAACATCAATAAAATAACCACACACATGTAAAATTTCCTTAAATTTCCTTAAAATATGTAAGATCATCAGCAGGCAACAAACTGCTGTGGCTCCTTACAGTTCTCACTCCTCCTAAGAGTGGGGGAAGGGGTGCATCTTCTCTAACCAATGAAAAGGAACCAATGTCAGTACCAGACCTGCCTCTGAGAGGTAGTCATTCCAGAGATGAGGTGCTGCTGCAGAGAAGGCCCCTGCTCCCTGAACTTCAGATTGAGGTGGAAGCACAAAAGATGGGCCTCTCCTGCAGACCTTAATGGATAGTTACAATGGCATGAGAGGCATTCCTATTTTATTAGTATTTTCCTATGTGTATCATGTTTTTCATGTAAATAATAAGCTGTCTCTTACCAGCAGCTGATCCAGACCAACTGATTGGCAACAGCTCTCGTTATTAGGGTGGGGTTTTTCCCAGCGGAGATGAACTTAACCAGGAGGAAGGCATTGCTGAATCTTTGTGTGTTGTGGCATCTATGCTATATCGTGCCACACAATGAGCAGTGGGCCGCCTAAAGCCCTTGGGGTTTAATTTGTGTGGTCCTTCACCTCATTTCAACACCTTCTTGCAGCAAATGATCAGTTCAGACCACTGGCAAGAGCAATCTGTCTCTATACTAGCAGCCCACTGGGTGGGAAGACAGAAAAAAGGAGGGCCCCACTCACTTTGGGGTTTGGCCCACAGTTGGCATGCGGATCCCATCAGTTTATCCCCAAAGGAATGTGCTTCTTAACAGAACAAAGGTTGTCCACTTCCACACTAAAGGATATTTCAAGCAGCCAACCATCTTTATGATACCATTCAATTCACACACAAAATTTTCTTCTGGCAGCAACCAGGCCACATGCTTGAAGTCTGAGATACCGAGGACTGATCCCAGGAATTCCCCCTCTCTTTTCCACACAAAGCAAATGTACCATCACTGAATTTATATTTCCTCCTAAGGCAGCACATTTGTTTTTATCATGCTACCCATCACATACTTTGAGGATGACCTACAGCAAGTTATTAAGTACACAATGACATAACTAATATAGATGCACTGAGAACTACTGTGGAAGCTAAAGTAGAAGTTTAGGCTGTCACCCGCCCTGCTCACCAGCCCCAGTGTGGATCATAGATCTCACTTTTCCTTCTGCTTAAATTAAAACCACCACCAATTTTCAGTTCAGGCAAGCATTTAAGCGAATCTCCTTACACAAGTCAGCCTTACCTATCAGAACCATTCCAGCAGCACTCAAACTTGTCAAAGATGCAGTCATTCTCATACAGTGAACAAAGTTTGCTTCGCAGATATTCATGAACCTTAAAATATATAAGTGTTGAAGAGCATGAGAACGTGTTCAATTTTGGGAAGAAATCTTTATTATTATAAAATATAACACACAAACACTGTACCTGATAGGTCTCTACAGGCCTGTTTTCCATATTGAGATCCCATACTTTAACTGAAAGGTAGTCTCTAGTCATCATGTATCGACCGCTATGACTGAATTTTACATCCGATATTGAGGAAATTATTTCTGAAAAGAATGATCTGCTGCTGGGATCTTCAGGTTCTTCAAAGACTGAAAGTTGTGAAAGTGGACAGAAAAGCTGCTTACTATTAGGGTTTATACTTTAACATTTTTAGTTAACCAAGGCTTAGCCATATCAGTGGTTTCCAACCTCTGCCCCACAAGAGTTGCTGAAATGTGCCCTAAAAAATCAAGACACCATGTACTCTATGCCCATTGGAATGGTGAGATCTCAGATAGACACTGGGATGTTCTCTACCAATAAACAGAATATTAGTTTACAGAAAACATAAAGGTATAGGTAAAGGTACCCCGACCGTTAGGTCCAGTCGCGGACGACTCTGGGGTTGCGGTGCTCATCTCGCTCTATAGGCTGAGAAACTGGTGTTTGTCCGCAGACAGCTTCTGGGTCATGTGGCCAGCATGACTAAGCCGCTTCTGGCAAACCAGAGCAGCGCACAGAAATGCCGTTTACCTTCCCGCCGGAGCAGTACCTATTTATCTACTTGCACTTTGATGTGCTTTCGAACGGCTAGGTTGGCAGGAGGTGGGACCAAACAATGGGAGCTCACCCCATCACAGGGATTTGAACCGCTGACCTTCTGATTGGCAAGCCCTGTGGTCTAAACCACAGAGCCACCCGCGTCCTTTACAGAAAACATACCTGTTTTTTTCTGAGAAATGGTAAAGAAAACTGAGAAAATACTTACATTTTGAATGTCTATCACAAAGAGCTGATGAACGCATATCACAGAGCCGTATAGTTCCTTTGCTACTGCTGTAGACAAACACATTACAATGATGAGGATGGAATTCTGCTGCCGTTATCACCTCTGTAAGTTCCTCCATGTTAGCAGGCTTTATATCTACAATGTCTGAAAGTTTGTTTGTATAGGTTCTTATAGATTTGTTTTCCTCAAAATATAACTTTCAAAGTATGCAATACAGGGAAATAAACAATCTAAAAACTGTACCCAAATTCTATATTATTTGGAATTGACATTTCTAGCATTCAGTTTATCATCTAAAATACAATTGAAGGATCACCATTCTCTACAACCTGCAGTTTACAACAGGGGTGGAGGGGAGAGGGTCATCTCAGAGTACCACCACCAACAGTCGGGGCATGTGAACATGAGAGACAGCTTTCTCTTAACAGCACCTCATATTTGAGACTCAAGGTGGAGGGGGGGGGGATCAAGCACCCACTTCCCCGACCATGTTCAGACTGAATTTAATTTGTCCAGGCCTTTGGGAGGGGATAGAAACACAATAATGCACTGCACATTTTAAAGCTATCATTTGGCTGTGGTCTTATCAGACACTATGTTGATCACTGCTCTGGGCTCCCTTTAATATAGTTGCCAAACAGAACTCTAGCATATGAGAGTTAAATATTATTTTAAAAAATGCAAAACCCAGAGAAGAATTGTTTACTGGGAGTCATAAGAGTTCAAGGCAGAAAGAAGTTACAAGGCACTGTTACCGCTCATTATTTTGACAGCACAAGACAGCTGCGAAGAATGCTCGCCCTCCCCGACATTTCATAGAATCATAGAATTGGAAGGGTCCCAAAGGTCATCTAGTCCAACCCCCTGCAATGCAGGAATCTCAGCTAAAGCATCCATGACAGATGGCCATCCAACCTGTTTAAATACCTCCAAGGAAGGAGAGTCCACCATTTTTACATGCCTTGCATTTTTTCGCTCTTCCAAACTCAAAACTCCTGAAATTCTAAAGAACATGTGGAGAACATGTAGGCTCTCCAAACTTTATTTAACTTCAGTGCCCATTACCCTCAGCCAGCATGGCTAATGATGATGGCAACTATAGTCCAACAGCACCTGGGAGGACCAGAGATTCCCTACCCTTGTCTTAAAAGACTAAACAAAATAAAACAGATGATTTATCATATTCAGAACAACTGATTGAGGCCAGTAATACTTATTGTAAGACGCTACTAAGCATTAAGTATTTCTATGTATCTAATATAAAAAAGGATACTAAAACTTCTGTCTGTGATTTCTAAATGCCACAGGTTGATTCTTAGGTCATCTGCAGAAAGGTACGTTTCATGATCACTATTTACTGAAATAGAGTTTATGTGATATGTGTGTGCATTTGCAAATATCCTTCGGGGACTTGCTTCTACCATTAGGTCCATGGGTTTCAATATTGGCACCTAAAAATAGAGAAAGGGAGAGAAGTTCACTACTACATGAAATATTTATTTAAAGGGCTAATCACTACAATATCTTAAAGTTACAAAATCTTTAACGTTACAAAAGTTGCTGGAATGATCTGGCATTGGATTGCATTCAAGATAGTACTAAGTAGCCCTTTGCTCAAGCAGAACTACTTCTGAATATACCCTAAATTAGTGATTCCCAATTAGCTAAGTACTGTGGACCCTGTTTTTCAAAAGCCAAGCCATAGACCCCCTACTTTTGAAGACTTTGATATTTCTAATGGTGTACTATTTCAGATCTCAATCAACTCAACACCTTCTCTAGTCAGGGTTCACAAATCCATTCTAAAAATTAGAATTCAAGTGTCAACACACAAGGCATAAACGTACTAGCATGCCAAGTAAAACTGCATGACTCAGACCTATAGAACCACATGTGTATCAAGTCCTTTTACATTCCTCTGACATCTTGCTTTCTAACTTTTGGCATGCTAATTTGTACATCACTGTTTCAAAAGTAGCTTGATATTTTAAATGGCGACTGTCAAACTGTTCTGTGCCTGTGAAAGATTAAGCTGAAAAGGCTCTCTAGCAGCCTGTCTTCAGCGTTCAAAAACAATAAAGAGTGGTATAACATTGTGCAAGTTTCCAAAAGTGCAAATTTAACCGATATGCAACCATAAGTAGAATCACCTTTTCCTGTTTTCAAATAGCTTAACAATGTTCCAGAACATCCAGTAAAGAACAGTATTAAATACACAGATAAAATTGTCTTTGAAATGACTAGGTTAACTGTAGACGTTTCAAGGGAGTTAAACGTCTTGAATTAAAGGAACAGAGGACGCTTCATTTTACCAAGTCAGACTATGGCTACATCTAGGTCAGTATTCTCTATACAGTACTGACTGGCAGTGGCTTTAAAGACAGAGCTTATCCAGGTGTACCTGGAGATGACAGGGACTGCAGCTGCAACCTTTTTCATACAAAATTATGTGTTTAGATAAGATTTTATAGTTAAGATTCTCTTTATACAGAGAAAAGGGTGCAATGAGTTATAGCGCTTTCCCAACCTGATAGTTTTCTAAGTAGATGTTTAGAAGCTTTTGTCACGGCTAAAATGGCCGCTGTTTCTTTAATGCGAATAAAGCTGGGTCAGCATGACTCAGTGGTCTGCACCAAGTTGTATATATAAGTGAGAAATGTTAGTTTGTTGCTGAGGCTGGTGTTTGGGTTGGTTGGTTGGTTGGTGCTGGTGTGTAGTCGTGTTTTGCACAAAGACTTTTAAGAATTAAACTCTGCAAGGATATTCTCGTGGACTCTTTTGTGCCGACAAGGGTCCGAGGACCAGGCTGAGGAGACAAAGGGAGGTCAGAACCTTTTCCTCCTTTTTTGCTTTTTACAAACACTGACAGCTTTCAAAAAAATCAAGTATCTAATCAAGTTTCTACTTTGCATGATACAACTGTGACACAACAGTTAGTAACATTGCTTAGATTTTGTTAATTCTAAATAAAGGTAACAAAATACCCGTAGTGCTGTGATTCTAAATGGATCCCGAAGTCTTCCATCTTCATCTTTCAAGTTATAACCTTCAGCTCTTTTATCTCGTTCACTGATTTTCCATAATTTAATAGTTTTATCTGAAAAAAGGAGAAAATATTCAAATGGTTGAAATCAAACAACACCGAAAGCTACTTTGTCATCTTACAAATAACCCAGTATGGTATACAAGCTCGACTAAGAATTTGGACGTGGAGAAGACTGAATGAATGGTTTGTTTATAAACTGAACTCTGCCCAGACAAATCAATTCTAAATGCATAATCTTTGCAAGTGGAACATATTATGCAATGGTTGTATAGAAATAATGTGCCACACACACATTCCAGAGATACTCAGGTACACTGTTTCTGTCACATGTAGAGGACTTGGGGGAGCAGGCGGGCTGGATTTCACTGTGAGCAGGGTTTTAAAGAAGGGAAGATGCAGTGAAAGCAGCCTCTTCTCCAAAGCTTGCGGGAAGGGCTAGGTCTTGTTTCATTTCCAGTGTGATACTTGTGTTTGCTAAGGCATTGTTGAGAAAAAGGGACCTGAACTCTCCCTACCCTTGCACTTTACAGAGAATTGGGAGGCACTTACAACTGGTGAGTTTTGAAGCCCAGACCATAATCAATTTTATTTTGGGTAATATTGTGAAGGAGTAAGGAGCTACAAAGCATTGCTTCCACTCTTATTCGGTCCCTTCCCTTCCCTGAAATTTCAGAAGTACTGACATTACAAAGCATATCTTTGTAACCATACGGGCTAGAGTGGGGCTTTATTTCTCATGAAACTGAATTCTATTTGATACACAAGCTGCACTTTTTATGCATTCCTGAAGAATGATGGCACATACACAACCCTGTGTTGTATTGGTATTTCTAGTGGTGGTGAAATTAATATAATTTAGGCAACCATTGTATATAGCAATTTGTTAGCAACACACAATGTGAAGTGTCACCGTTCTCTATTACAAAGCTGCAACTTTTATGAAGAACTTGTGCATAGTTTCTGTATAACCAAGCACACAACTGCATTAGGCCACTAGCATTTATATAATTACGTCAGGAGTGCCTCTAAGGGGCGTGAACAATAAGCATTTGTTTCAGCTGTGCCTGCCACAACAGTCTGCACAACTGAAGAATTTACAATTTCAGTAAGCAACTAAGAACCTTCTTTCAACTATAAGTAGAAAGTCTTACACAACAGGTTTTTTAAAATATAAAAAGCACTATCATAATGATGAACAGCCTAGAGTACACTCTGATAAAATGGATATATTTGCCTGATAAATGCTGTAGATTATTTGAAGAGAAATAGATACTTTTATACCGAGAAAACATTTCTTCAGATATTTTCATTATGCAAGGTATTTATTATAACATGTAGTCATGTTATTACAAAAGTAGTGTTTGGATTTTCTAAAAACAGTATTTTAAAAAATACCCCAGTTAATTTACCTAAGAAAACCAGTGCAAAAATAAAATAAAATAAACTAGCACAACGGCTGTAAATCTCTTGGTCCATTGTGTCAAATAGGTTTCTGGAGATATTTTAAACTGAACAGAAAAACATGATTCAGAGATCCTCAACAATACTGTGGGGGCCAGACTATGTTCAGAAACACAGCACACTTGCAGGTTCCCTGCCACTATAATGCTATCCTCTTCGGGTGAAAAGTATCAGTTCAGCGAAGTACATTATTAAGCCATGAATTATTAATACTAGCTTGTATAATAGTTAAGAAGCAGAGTGGAGTCTTCAAGGATTTATCATTTACTAAATTATTAAATATTAAGGTTTTCGGCATCTTAAATCACTTAATCTAAAGATATATTCTTGTTTGCCCACTCAAGCAAGTGATACCTCTTAAGGTATCAGAAATCTTATGATGTAAAGGGTTTGCAGAAAGATATCAAAATAATTTGGGCAATTGTAAAAATCTGACACAGGACAAGTAAACACTTCACAAATAATTTCTCTTTAGTGTCTGGAAAAGAACAGTTGGGAACACTGACAGTGAGAAAGCGTACTGGTTTCCTTTACAAGGAGGGTTACATCATGATGCTGATAGCCTCAATGCTCTTATGTCTAGACCTGGGTGATTTTTCAATATATCGTTCAAAATTGGTTATGAAGTCCACAGCACGATAACGGTTTCATAAAGAACAACTGAACTAGCTTAGTGAACTATGGCTTACAAAGCAAGAGAACCCATGGTTCACCAGTTTAAATGTCATGGCAAATTTACACTTTGCTATTAGCTTATGGGCCAGTGTGGGGATTTGGGACTGCAGAAATTGAAACACCAGATGGCAGGGTTGATTATGACAACAGCAACAACTATTATTATTATTATTGACTTGCTTTTGTAGCACCAAGCAGTTATTTGGTGTTGCAAATGAGGAATTCAATTATGCAGTGGTACCTTTGTAGTCGAAAGGCTTGGCTCCTCAGCAAATTGGCTCCTGAATGCCACAAACCCGGAAGTGAGTGTTCCGGTTTGCAAATGTTTTTCAGAAGCTGAATGTCCAACGTGAGTGCAGGAAGCTCTTGGAGCCAATTGGCTGTTTTGGGAGTCGAATGGATTCCCAGAATGGATTAAATTCAAGATCCAAGGTACCACTGTAGTTACATTACAAATGATACTATATGTAAGTAGACATGAATGATCTAGAAGTAATCAGATACAACTAGAACATATGCAGAAAAATGTGTTGTGTAAACTTACCATTTGTAGATAATAAGAAGTGAGCAGCATTCTGTTGTGGTAACCACCTAATTTTATTAATTTTTTCCTCAATTTCTAGACTTTTCAAGTAGTCAAACTCAGGTTCATGACTCTGAAAGGTACTGTAAACATTATATTCTCCCCTTGAATGAGGACGGCTTTTGTTCTGCAAGGGAACACACATGTGTGAAAAAGTAATTTTTGTAGCATGCACATACTAAGCAGAAGAATTAACAAAGATTCCAACAATATCAGAAGTTATTCAATAAACAAATGTACTGAATTTATTAAAACATCTACCTGCCCTCACACTTGCAAAGTACAACAGGAAGAGGTTCTTGCATGATAAAGAGGCAACGGAAAGGGTGCAAAGAAGCTGTGTTCACATGTGTGTGAACAAAGAGAGAACCAAAGTTTGTGCTGCAACATATAACAGTCACAGAAGCAAACTGTTTTAAATCTGCCTCTTTGACTAATGGTTTTGCAGCAAAAACTTGAGTGCTCCTGCCTATATGTTGGCAAACAGCTTTCTTGAATCATAGCCACGTCTATTGAAAGGTAGACCTTTACAACTTTATCTGTCATACAAGTTGCAAAAGGAATTATTTACATAAAGGAGAAAAAAATTCAGAAGAGCTGACCTACTGAATGACAGGTTGGAATATACCACTGTTCATTTAATTCAAGAAGTGTAATAAATAGCAGTGTTCATTTTATGATCAAGAAGGGGAAGTAGCTTTGAGATAAAGCACATGCTATCCATGTAGCAAATCCCCAGATACAATATGGGCTGGGAGAGACGACTGCCTGGGACATTCGAGAGCTGTTGCTAGTGATATGGGGCATAAAGTTTTCCAATACTTTATTTTTTAATGGAAAAAAATCTGTTTCATAAGTAACAACGAATGGGTGCCAGCAGCAATCAAATATTAGACAAGCTGGGCAGTTTTTAGATTTATTTACCAAATACAAGTAAAAAGGACCTAAGTTGCATGGAAAAATTTTCTAACTCAACTCCCCCCCCCCAAAAAAAAAATCACTGGCTGTTGCCAAATCAGAGAATATAATACTGGCCCAATGGTTTAAGTCAGTATATGACTGTTTCACGGTTCATAAAATTGGAGCAATGTCACAAATTACCTTTAGTCAGAGAAACCTAGCTCCATTACACATATCTGGAAGCACCATTTAAAAAGAAAAAAAGTATCATTCCTTTGTTGTTGCTTTGAAAAAGCAAATGTATGGAATCAATTCACTTGTTCTTGCAGCTACTAATTTTTAACTATTCTGAAAACGAGGGTCTTCTTGATTAGCTTTGCATGTGTGTTTTCCACAAAGTTTTAAATCAGAATTTCTTCCTCATCTGTAGTAAGGGAAGCAGTATTGCAACTGGCTTTTCCCCTTTTACAAAATCTGAAATAAAGCAAGGCTATTCTTGCCTTGCAGTGCTGCAAGACCTCATTATTTTGTAAACCTTAAACTCCTCTCGGTGCACAAAGTGGACTGCAACCCTAGTTGGAATGAAGACTTACAGGTTCCTGAGATGGTGTGAATAAATCAGACAGCTTTTTCTAGTACCTTTCTATTTGCAGTTCCTAAAAGTATCAGCAAGTTTTCTCTATTTTTTTGTTAAGTCCTCTCTCTAAAGATTGCCAAAGACAAATGTGCATTCCTTAACACAATGGTATGACTTAGTGCACACTTTCCCCTTCAACTGACACAATACCTATGTAATAAACACGTAAAATAAAAACTAGTAGCCAACCCAAAAATCTTTCTCATCAGTGGCTAAGGATATATATGTATTGCTTAACCTTTCTTAGTTATCTTATTGCATTCTTTTTCAGAATAGTTGAACAAGCAATAAAGAACAGATGTTCCTCAAGCCATTCTATTCCTACTTATGAATGTACATACAACTAATGTAGGTAGTATCATCTGAAAATGAGTAATCTGAAGAATGACTGTGACTTAATGAATTCTGGGGGAAAACATCAATGTACTTGAAATAGTTGGCAGGTAAAGTATAAAGATCAATTTTTAAAAGAAAATAGCTTGATCATAAATTAAAACTGATGATGTGATGTTGTGATACCATTCACTTTAAACATAAACTACAAGGGAGAAGAACCACTTTTTTATTGTTTTGAATGGCACTGACCTCTGGTTCCCTTTGAAATATAACCACTCTGCCACCCTTGTCTCCTGTTGCAAGAAGATCTCCAGAGTAATTAAATTCAACTGTTGAGATAATGTCAGCTGTAAACAGAAAACAGAGACAAAAGTATTATAATGTGTAAAGTGAGCCAAGTACCTTAAGAACAGGGTATACAATTGAACGGACAACAGGTCCACATGAATTTGCAAGCTGATTTTCAACTGTACTATTAAAAGTGATGGGTTCTCTCTACAAGCTTTCATCACCTTTTAAGTAGTCCAAACATCATGAAGAACAATCTCAAATTTGTGCACTCAACACTGAGTGTGGAAATGTTAAAGATAACAAGATGCAGGGGAGGCTGGCTCATTTCAGTGAATGGAGCATTGCCCCACCAAATCCAATCTGCTGTCAGCCAATCCCCACCTGCCTGCCTTACCTACAACCATTTCAGGGAGTAGCACTGACTGTCAGGTTCCTCCTTCTTATGACTCTAAAATCAAAGAATCACAGAACTGTAGGGTTGGAAGGGACCTCTAGTCTAACCCCCCTACAATGCAGGAATCTCAAGTAAAACATCCAGGACAGGTGGTCATCCAGCCTCTGTTGAAAAGCCTCCAAGGAAGGGGAGTCCACAACCTCCTGAGAGAGTCCATTCCACTGTCGAACAGATCTTACTGTCAGAAAGTTCTTCCCGATGTTTAGTTGGAATCTCCTTTCTTGTAACTTGAATCCAATGGTTTGGGTCCTACCCTCTGAGCAGAAAAAAAAGCTTGCTCCATCTTCCATGTGACAGCCATTTAGATATTTGAAGAAGGCTATCATACCTCCTCACAGTCACTTTTTTTCCAGGCTAAACATACCCAGCTCCCTCAACCTTTCCTCATAAGCCTTTGTTTCCACCTTGACCACCCTCCTATGCACACAGAACAGAACAGTACTATGACTTCCCTTGATCTGGACACTATACTTCTGTTGATGCAGCCTAGAATAGCATTAGCTTTTTTCACTTTTCACTGCTTCATAACACTGTTTACTCATGTTAAGCTTGTGGTCCACTAAGATCCCCAGATCCTTTTCACACATACTACCAGCAAGCCAGGTGTCCCCCATCTTATATTTGTGCAGCTGGTTCTTCCTGCCTCCACGTAGAACCTTACATTTGTCCCTATTGAAATTAATTCTGTCAGTTTGGTCCCAGTTCTCCAATCTGTTAAGACAGTCTAGAATCCCAATTCTGTCTTCTGCAGCATTGGCTACCCCTCCCAGTTTGGTGTCACCTGCAAATTTGATTAGCACCCCTTCAATTCCTTTGTCCAAGTCGTTTATTGTGCTTCCACTGTAGAACTCAGCAGGGAGAAGGATGTGGACAAAACTAGGAGTCAGTTTTGCCTGTCATTAGCTGTGGCTCCGGGAGTCATTGTCTCCGACGCTATCTCCTGTTTGCCTTCCTCCCTACCAGTTACAATGGGCACCAGCTATGGATGTCAAGATGCCTTTTGAAATTCACAAGCAGCTTAGCCGGTCATGGATGCTCAAAGTACAAAAAGGAGGCCGCCTATATGCAGTAGTGGTCGGTGGGGCAGTGTAGGCAGGGTTGGTCACCGGTCTTCTGAACACCAGGCGCCATTGCTGGTTCCTGAGAGGCCGCTGAGCCTCCACAATGTCATTTCCCCTCCCTGCTCTGCTGCACCAACAGCTACTGCCTGCATTTAAAAGCATGCAACCTAGCTCTACTGTAACAATATGACAAATGACAATTTAGGATAAAATTGGGCACACATACCATCGGCTCCTGACAGAAACATCAACGGTCTGAGAGAACTGTTGGGGTAGCTCCTTTCCCACACTCCCTGGAGCTCTGTGTGACCTGAGGGAAGGGAGAAGCGAGGGAGCCCAGGCCAGGAAGCTTGTGCCATCAGCTCCCAGTTGGCCCGAGAAGACTTTACTACTGTACATTTGATATAATTTATTTGCTTTACTATTTTAAAATGGTAAACTGCCTTGGATGCCTTGGCAGAGCAGTGGTATATAAATGCAAATAAATAAATAATCCTAGTAATGAATGTTGTCTAAAGGTCATGGGTGCATAAGCCTAAACTCTACCTAAAGGACACATGGAAAGCCACTCAGTGTTTTATTTATTTGTTTGACAAAATGTATATACGATTGATTGTAATAATACCTCTAACACAACAACATTTGAAAATGTGGCTTTCCATTTTAAAAAGCCTTCAAGGTTATAGAAAGCTACAAACACTATGACCATGGCATTAATTTATCAGCTTGGAATGGATAAAACATATTGGGTTGGATCCAGTCTTGCCCTTCAATGGATGAAAGAGCTCCTTGAACATTATCTAATAACTAGACGTAATCTGTTCCCCAGCCTGCTTGGTTATTATATTCTATTGTGCGAGAAAGATTACTGCTACACTGGATGTACTTACTAGCATTAAGATTCTAAATTTTGAATTATTCAGTGAATAAATTTGAAACACTACAATAACAGAGCTGAGGAGAGAATTGAGATATTCCTTTTTCTTAAGGAAACATGCTAAGATATTGGCAGACTTGAGCAAATCTCAATAAAATGAGAATGAAGTCTGCAGTGCTTTCTATGCCCCCACACCCATTTCCCTTACCACAAGGTAACACTCTGATGTCAGTATTCCTAGAGTTTACTTAATTCCTCTTCCCTCTAGTGCACAGTATAAGCAGGGTAATAGTGATTTCTAAAGTTAAGGTACACACTATCATGCTAAACCTATAGGCCAGAATCCAAGTAGCTACACAGATGCACACTCAAACACACCTATGTTGAATCAGTGAGATGTGTACTCAACATTAGGAAGAACTTTCTGATGGTAAGAGCTGTTCAACAGTGAAAAAAAACCTACCTTGGAAGGAAGTGAACTTTCCTTCATTGGAGGTTTTAAAACAGAAGTTGGGTGTCATGGATTATTTGGCTGTGATTCCTGCATTGCAGGGGGTTGGCTAGATGACGTTTGCAGTCCCTTCCAACTCTACAATTCTATGATACTATGAACTGCTTCAGTTTCAAAATTAACTAATTATGTGGCATAGGATGTGCTTGTGTTTGGGCTGCTTCACACAACTGAACCTCACAACTTGAGGAGACAGTACTACACAGTTGTGTAGCTCTGTGGACCCTGGCCTCACTCTTTTATGTTTCTTAGGCTGCAATCTGAAGCAGTCTCTACTGAAGACATAGCAACATGCTTTGGAGAAAAACAGGTCTGGGATGGTAAAATTAGTATTTTAGATTAATAAAACGAACCACCTGCGAACACATTTCCATAACCTTTGGGCAGTTAGTGAGATAATTTATCTGGCCCATATAAATGTAATAATGGATGGTGTTGGAGAGGAAATAATTTCTTGTTTTAAAGTTATGCATGGATATTCAAAGCTCCATATTAACAATTTTAGATGCAATAATGGGAAACAGGAAGTGTAAGCCAATGAGCACAAGCTTGTGCTGTCTGAAATGGTTTGTATCTTCTACCACACAAGTGATTTTTTTACGCAAATGAAAACCCTAGAGAACTAGATTAGAATATTCTTTGAATGACTTCCATACTAAAAAATAACGTCACCCATAGTTCTCTAGAAAGATGCCTTCATTACCTCTAGTAAGAGCTACCAATCTTTATAACATTTTTTTGGCAGTGATTCAGTCTGCTAGCTCAAATTGAATTCCTAGTCACAGGCAGACTTCAGAAATCGCTAGTTATGGGGCCACATGACCCAGAAGCTGTCTGCGGTTAAACGCCAGCTCCCTCGGCCTATAGAGCGAGATGAGCGCTGCAACCCCAGTCGTCTGCGACTGGACCTAATGGTCAGGGGTACCTACACCTTTACCCTTGTTACACTATACATTGAAATTAGAGATATACTTAAAACTTTTATGGATTTGTGGTTCATTAAGTGACCCAAGAAGGTGTAAAATATGAATTATGTTTGATAACAAAGGGAGTAGAATATGCAAGTTCTTAACCAATTTAGAGTCTCTAGAACACAAATATCAGCCTAAGTGGGAACAACATATGCTGATTAAATAATATACCCAGAAATTACAGATTGTTGATGGAAATGTGAAATGCCTGGAACAAATACCGTATTTTTCGCTCTATAGGACGCACTTTTTCCCCTTCAAAAATGAAGGGGAAATGTGTGTGCGTCCTATGGAGCGAAGACGCCATAGCCCCGCGACCCTCTCCCGGCTGGAGAGGTGACGCACGGCTATGGCAGGAGCCTCTCCGCTGCGCCTTTCCGCTGCTCCCTGACCTGCTCTTTGGGGCTGGTGGTGGGCTTCCCCCCGCCAGCCCCAAAGAGCAGGTCGAAGGAACCTGAAGCCTGGAGAGCGAGAGGGTCAGTGCACACCGACCCTCTTGCTCTCCAGGCTTCCAAGGTAGCCGCCTGAACGCACCTTAAACGGCACCTTGTTTTAGAGCGGGAAAACAAGAGAGGGAAAGTTCTCCCCCTCTCTGCACAGAGCCTCCTGCCGCTTTGCTGAAGGGGCGCTGGGCAGAGAGGGGGCGAATTTTTTTTCTTGTTCTCCCCCCTCTAAAACAAAGAGCGTCCTATTGTCCGGTGCGTCCTATGGTGAGAAAAATACGGTATATTCCACCTTATTAGGCATGTATGAAGATTCAGACATTTTAGAATTTTATCAGAAATTCTAGTAAAAAATATGCCAGCAGATCCAAAGGTAATAGTTGGTTATCTTAAGAATGGCATACTAGAAGAAGACACAGAAACAACAATTTGCTAACGATAGCCAGAATTACCATCTCCCCTTCTGTAGATTTCTGTCTACAGTGGTACCTCGGGTTAAGTACTTAATTCGTTCCGGAGGTCCGTACTTAACCTGAAACTGTTCTTAACCTGAAGACCACTTTAGCTAATGGGGCCTCCTGCTGCCGCCGCAGCACAATTTCTGTTCTCATCCTGAAGCAAAGTTCTTAACCTGAAGCACTATTTCTGGGTTAGTGGAGTCTGTAACCTGAAGCGTATGTAACCCGAGGTACCACTGTAGTTATCATATATATGCTGTGGGGCAGGGAGGCTTGCATGAATCTAATGTATGTCATTAAGTGTCCCTCAAACCAAAGGGACAAGCCGATATATGACTTTGCTGCCCCCCATCCACCAACACAGGCATAGATATTGCTGGGGAACCAGCATTGTAGCTATGTATGATAACTGGACAGTTCCACATTTGTGAGATCCTGTGCTGGTAGAGGCTAGGAAACAAGGATTTGCAACCACTAAGTAGTCAAACACAGCTTCAGTTTGGTAAAGGATATTTTGCATCAGAGAAGGGCACAGAGACGAGAGTGCTTCCTTTGCCACTCACTTTCTTCTCCTTCATGGTAGGGATCCAAAACTGCTCTTGTAAGTAACATGGTCGGAAAACTTAAAACATGGGTGGGACTAAGAGACATGGGGTTAAGTCTCTTATCCATGCTGTAAATGACCTCTTCATGAGGATTTTTTTTAAGAGCAATAGATCAGAGAATTCCAGGCTGAAGCGAAAAATGCAATTTGGCCTCAAGTGCCACTAGCTGGTTTCTCAAGCTAAGATTTGACAACCAGTTTTGAGGTTTTTGAACACCTGCATTCTAAGAAGGCATTTGGCAAGCTTTGTCAATGAGCCCAGATCCACCTTGGAGCAAATTCCCAGCATTCCCAATGCATATCTTCTACATCAAAGTGCAACAATAGTTGAACCTCACCCATAGAGAGTGGGGAAAATATACCGTATTTTTTGCTCTATAAGACTCACTTTTTCCCTCCTAAAAAGTAAGGGAAAATGTGTGTGCTTCTTATGGAGCGAATGCAGGCTGCGCAGTTATCCCAGAAGTCAGAACAGCAAGAGGGATCGCTGCTTTCGCTGCGCAGCGATTCCTCTTGCTGTTCTGCGCAGCAATTCCTCTTGCTGTTCTGGCTTCTGGGATTCAGAATTTTTTTTTCTTGTTTTCCTCCTCCAAAAACTAGGTGCGTCTTGTGGTCTGGTGCGTCTTATAGAGCAAAAAATACAGTAATGATGAGGCGAATGTGCAATAAACTAGTGTTCCTCAAGGCTCTGAGCACCAAGCAAAGAAGATTAGATTGAACAGACCACTTGCTCTTCCAGCATAGTTCTACTAGAACTATGGTGAAAGGAAATTCAATAGTGATATAGAATGTTGTACCAATACTGTAACTACTCAGCTTTGGCGCAAGCCCATAACACATGAGCTAGCCACACATCCACCAACTCAGGTTCAAGACCTGATACACTATTTTGCAATCTTCTTTTCCAGATGGTACTAGACATGTACAACTTATTTTAGAGAAAACATTAATTTTCCGCAAATGCTATACCTTCCCATAAGATACTGAAAATAATGACCCAAGAGATTCTAACCACTAAGCATTTTGACAACAAATGCTTTCCCTCTACAGGGAAAACTTAGGTGCTTGAATGAAAATGCACCATTTAGAAAGATTTTATATGTGAATTTTTGTGAGCAAGTTATAATCACTTCTATTCTTAGACAGCCTCTAACTAGAGTGATATGGGAAGCTATGTTAGCATACAACTACAAATAGCAAATTAAGGCTCCTACATTAACAGCATCTATGCACAAACAAAAACTAAAGATTAAGCATAAGACAAAAAAGTCCCTTCAAAACAAAGTAATCCAGATCTTGTAATTTAAAAAATAAACTCAAAACACAGTCATTGAATTATAACAATCAGACAAGACCTCTTATTGTGGTGCTTCATTCAAGCATCTGGGAAATATTTTTATACCCAGTATGCTTAAAGCCTTGTGTTTTCCTGCATATAGCTATAAATGGTTTACTATCAGCTGAATGGAAAGGTTAAGCTGCACAGATGGACCTCTTGAAGCAATTGTTTTCTGCTATAAAAAAATCCCCTCTTTTCCAACAGCATGAATTCAGCAACCAAGACAAAATACACACTTATAATTTTGCCAGAGATTCTAAGAGAACACAGAAGAACTCAGTAAGCAATCTTGTCCTATTATCTGGGAGCAGTTTCATACTACCATGATAATGTCATACGACACATAACATTAATCAGGCCACCTGACATTCTTATGTATGGAACTAAAAGTTGCCTTGTTCAGAAAACCCTTTGAAGCACATTTTTATTGATGAACTAGATTATGTTCCTTCAGAAGTACCAACAGGATTGTCTAGGCACAGTACACTGTATGCATATTGGGTCTCCGATCCCACCCACGAAAGGTCTGCATTTGTTTTGTATCTATGTCATCAAAGTGTAACTTGCTTTAATTATTTTTCAACAGAAGTCTACCACAAGGTCATAATTAGGTGGCACCTCCACAACAGATGGACCTGGCATAGAACTATTTTTGGTCCTGCAGATAAGTGCTCATCAAAGAGAAGGTTCAGCACAACTCTTGAATAGAGCTGGGTGATCAACATACAATCAATATATTACAAGGTTTTCAACGTTGTGATATATCATCAGCTAAACATCACAATATGCCGATACAGTGGTGCCTCGCAAGACGAAATTAATTCGTTCCGCAAGTCTCTTCGTCTTGCGAGTTTTTCGTCTTGCGATGCACGGTTTCCCATAGGAATGCATTGAAAATCAATTAATGCGTTCCTAGGAAGCCGCCTTCAGACCAGGTCCGGGGACAGTCTGTCCCGGACCTCTTCTGAAGGCTGGGGGAGCAAGGGCTTTTCTTCCCACCCCCAGCATTTTAAAACCCCGGGACAGCGGAGGACTTCTCCGCTGTCCAGGCGATCTTAAAATGCTGGCGGGCGGCATTTAAAATCACCCGGGACAGCGGAGGACTTCTCCGCTGTCCGGGGCAATTTAAAGCCCCTGGGAAGGCAGGCAGGGGGACAAAGACTTTGCCCCCGCCAGCCTTCAGAAGAGGTCCTGGACCTCTTCTGAAGGCGGGCGGGGCGAAGTCTTGCTCCCCCGCCTTCAAAAGCCCTCCGGGACAGGCAGGCAGGGGAGCAGAGACTTTCGCCCCCGCCCGCCTTCAGAAGGTCTTCCCTCCCCCCGCCCGGCCGGGCACCGTTCCGAGCCGGGCGGCGGCGGAGGTCTTCCTCCCCCCGCCCGGCCGGGCACCGTTCCGAAGCCGGGCGGCGGCGGAGGTGTTCCCTCCCCCCGCCCGGCCGGGCACCGTTCCGAGCCGGGCGGCGGGGAGGTCTTCCCTCCCCACCGCCCGGCCGGGCACCGTTCCGAGCCGGGCGGCGCGGAGGTCTTCCCTCCCCCCGCCCGGCCGGAGCACCGTTCCGAGCCGGGCGGCGGCGGCAGGTGTTCCCTCCCCCCGCCCGGCCCGGGCACCGTTCCGAGGCCGGGCGGCGGCGGCTGAGTGTTCCCTCCCCCCGCCCGGCCGGAGGAGCCTTCCGAGCCCGGCGGCGGCGGGAGGAGGTGTCCCCGCCCCGCCGCCAGGCTTCGGAGGAGGTCCGAGGACAGTGGGAAGACGCGCTGCGCTTCCCCGCTGTCCCTGAGATTTCCCTATGGGCTGTCGTCTTGCGAAGCAAGCCCATAGGAAATTCGTTTTGCGAAGCGCCTCCAAAACGGAAAACCCTTTCGTCTAGCGGGTTTTCCGTCTTGCGAGGCGTTCGTCTTGCGGGGTACCACTGTATATCACAATGTCTGAAATAAGGATGAAGCTATGTAGAGTACAGTATTTTGCGCTCCATAGGACGCTCCGGCCCATAGGGCGCACCTAGTTTTTTTGGGGGGAAATAAAGAAAAATATTTTTATTTCCCCCCCAGGTGCGGGGCTGGAAGAACTAGGTCGGGGAACAGCGGGAAGGTGCGCTCTGCCTCCCCGCTGTCCCCCGAGCTTGTGGGGCTGGCGAAGGGGAGAAGTGCGCTGATCCTGGGACTGCAGGCAGCTCTGCGCGGCCATCCGGAGCGGGGCGGGACTCGCTCCCGATGGCCGCGCAGAGCTGTGCTGATCCCGGGACTGCAGGCAGCTCTGCGCAGCCCTCGGGAGCGGGGCGGGACGGCGCGCCCGGAGCAGGCTGGACGCGCGGAGCTGCGCTGAGCCGGGGACGGCCGGCCGCTCTGCGCCGCCATCCGGAGCGGGGCGGGACTCGCGCCCCGCTCCCGATGGCCGCGCAGAGCTGCGCTGGACCTCGCGCCCCGCTCCCGATGGCCGCGCAGAGCTGCGCGGGACTTCGCGCCCGCTCCCGATGGCCGCGCAGAGCTGCGCTGATCCCGGGACTGCAGGCAGCTCTGCGCGGCCATCGGGAGCGGGGCGGGACTCGCGCCCGGCTCCCGGTGGCCGCGCAGAGCTGCGCTGAGCCGGGGACGGCAGGCACCTCTGCGCGGCCATCGGGAGCGGGGTGGGACTCCCGGTGGCCGCGCAGAGCTGCGCTGAGCCCAGGACTGCAGGCAGCTCTGCGCGGCCATCCGGAGCTGGGCGGGACTTCGTGCCCGGCTCCCGGTGGCCGCGCAGAGCTGCGCTGAGCCGGGGATGGCAGGCAGCTCTGCGCCGCCATCCGGAGCTGGGCGGGACTTCGCGCCCGGCTCCCGGTGGCCGCGCAGAGCTGCGCTGAGCCGGGGACGGCAGGCAGCTCTGCGCCGCCATCCGGAGCGGGGCGGGACTTCGCGCCCGGTGGCCGCGCAGAGCTGCGCTGAGCCCGGGACTGCAGGCAGCTCTGCGCAACCCTCGGAGTCGGTCTCCCGAGGGTTGCGCAGAGCTCCTGAAGCCTGGAGAGCGAGAGGGTCAGTGCGCACCGACCCTCTCGCTCTCCAGGCTTCAGCGAAAGCCTGCATTCGCCCCATAGGACGCACACACATTTCCCCTTCATTTTTGGAGGGGAAAATGTGCGTCCAATGGTGCGAAAAATACGGTAATTGTCATGCTTCATTGTTTTTCCCACATCGTGATTTTTGCATAGCGCATACACACACACACACACACACACACACACACACAGACATTCACAAAATATTTCCAGGTCAAAAATCATGAAACTGACATCATGATATAGACTTCAGACCAGTTTGGGACAATATGTTGATAACCCAGTCCTACCCTTGGTTCCAGTTCTGATAGGAAGACTGAAACGCCAATCAATTATAGGAAAATGTACATTTTTTGCAGGATGCTAGTATCAAACCTTTTTTGTTTGGATTCAGTGTCAATCTGTTACCCCTTCTCCACATGGCTACATCTTTCCACATATTCAGAACAGATAGGGTTGCCCTATGTCCTCTTTTTCCATGACATGTCCTCTTTTTCAGGGATAAATCTGAGGCAAATTGCATCATAGCATCCTCTTTTTTGCTCTTCAAAATATGGCAACCCTAAATAGCAGCACCTCAATGTTTAGTAATTAAAGCAAGGAGTTGGGTGTCATCTGCATACTGATGGCACCTCACTCCAAAAAGGTTGATGTTCTTTCTCAGGAGTTTCATTAAGATGTTAGCAAAACTGGCACTGAACCCTTTGAAATTCCACAAACCAATATCTAGGAGGCAATTCCACAATCTAATCCCCCAAATCCCTAATGATCACTGGTTGGACACTGTTTCTGCCAGTTCCTGTTTTGCTGCAAATTAAAATTCCCATGGGACATTAAAACATGACCTGTAAGCCTGTTGTATATGCTATTTTTTCTAACGTTCCCACATTAGTGTTCCCATGAAGAAACAACCCTCTTTATATTAAAATAAATAGTAAATGCTAACACATTTGCTTTCAAGACATTTGAAGGGAAGCATGGAATATCTGCAAGGTATGGTGAACACTAATGCTGAGGCAATGGAGGGGCACATGTTTTGCTCTGGAAATGTTCCCAATACGGAAGATTAACTGATGACTGTATAAGCAATGTTATCCACGAGTAATGCATGAAAAACTATTTGCATACACTTCATAATTTTGCACTGTATTTTCACTTTTTCTACAGGATGCTTTTGCTACATATGGATCCTTACCAGTCTTTTTGAGACTATCATCCTGATTCCAACTTTGGCAAAAAGTTTAATAGCTAGCGCCCCAAATCCTTAAATTAGAATGCAAACATCTTATTGGGGTGTTTAAGTGTTACATCTGTTTGTCTCTCAAAAATGAGGACAATTCTAAGCTAAAGACCATTGAATTTACTAGCTATTTAGATCAGTTAAGGTAAAAGTAGTTCCCAAGTGACAAACCATACAACAGCTATTCAACATATTTCCTGTTCACTTGGTGGCCTAAGTAGGTTTGAATGCCTGTGATGTTTCAGAAAGTTAAAATACCTATACCAGCTAAATTCTATAAGCAATATACTGATTTTGCTAACATTTTTAGATTTAGGCCTTTAGTTTCTTCAGTTACATATTTGCAACACTCAGGTCTAATCCATTTTTAACAATATGACAAAGTATAACAATCATTTATACTTTTAAGATTTTCAAAGATTAGGCATATATCTTCTCAATAGGCAGCAAAAGGTTATAAGAATCAGTCATGACAAGACAGCATGGTAGTACTATATTTTGTTTCTAGGCCACATTACAGCATTGAAGGATTTAATCAATAGCTTGCCAAATCAACGATAGAAGAAAGGTGAGGATCCGTCAGATCAGCACTGCTGTTCTTCTGTCTCTAAGCAGAAAGTCAGTCAGCAACATTGCTTTGACCTTAAATGCCCTGTGCCTGTATTTAGACACATGAGGGAGGTTTGGTAGTAGGAATAAGGTGCCTGCATGAAATGAACTTTCATATTTGATTTTGCTTCAAACTAAGCTCATAATCCTGGAGCTGTGCATTGGTATACTAGATAGGGTTTCTGTGCCTTCAACTATCCAGAAAAAAATACAATGAACTGATGGCTTGGTCAACCTTTTACTGCACAGAAACACGAAGGCATGAGTACAACCCGAGTGTACTATTATTGTTTTTCTTAATGTAGTATGATAATCATTAGGAAGCTTTTCTTACTACATATAAATTATCTGATTTTTTAAAATCATCTTTTGAAAGGAGGCACTGTGGACCTAACATATAGGGCATGATCCTGGGAAGTACATGAACCCCAGTAAATTACTGATAAGTATCCCTATCAATTCATGTCACACAGCTTTATGTAAATTCTGAATGGTAACCAGTTAAAAACATAGTGGATTTTTTTGATCAGTTGGACTAGATGAACTTGAGGTTATTTCTAACACTTTGATTTTTATTAATTGGTCCTAAACAACTCTTTAAATGCACAAGTTTTGAAAAATCATGCCATGGGATGGTTTGGCATAAGAACTGCAATTTTGCCAAAGAAAATAAGCAGAATGACCAGCAGTACACATATTTCCTTGAGTCTTCCAACTGCAGTACAATTTTTCAGAAGGTAAGGTATAGCAGGAGTCCCTTCAATCTTCTTTTCTCTACATTATACCACCCATGCACAGACAGGAAGACCCCAACCTCTCTGCATATGCCAGAGGACTTGAGGGAGGGCCTGATGGTGACAACAAATAATAGCTTGCTTTTTAAGCAAGTTAGACCACTTGCTTATAGCAATGCTCTTAAAGCACTTTGAACCATGCAGTTAGGAAGAAACTCTGCAGTGCAGGATTACAGGCATGAGTGCCAAGACATCTGCCCAGCTGAAAATGAGTTTGTTGAAAAATCAAAGTTGCTTCTATATGGAATTAGTCACATCCTTCAAATGTAAAACCAGAGAATCTAGTACTGCCAATAAGAAAGATGGTTTAAAATGAGTACGTTTCTCAAAATGTTATGCCTCTTGGAGCATATCTTATGTGATATGGTACATTCTTATATAGCTTAGGGATTCAATTTCTTGCTTGCCTGAAGTAGTAGTTTCCCCTGGCTGAACAGACATGCATCAGCAGATGGCTCCTCCCCTCCATCCACTTTTCATCACCAGTGTGTATAGGAGCCTGCATGCACAGCCACAATATTTATGTTTTTGAATCCCCTAAATCTGTTTTATTTATTTTTACATACTTTTCTGTTTCTAAACCGTTTTATTGATTTTAGGCTATAGTTTTGTTTCAACAAATGCTTTTATACTGTACACAGTGTACACCACTTTGGGATTTTAAAGATAAGGAGCAGTTTGGAAATGCTTTAGAATAAATAAATAGAATTGCTACAGTGCTATTCCTCAAGATGGGAGAAAGCACAACAGGGCTTTACCATCTACATTAGCAACATTTAAAGAGTGGACAGGTCCAAATGCACCAGTCCTACCATACTGTGTGTCAAAGAACACAGCAAAGGCAAAATTAATGGTGTGCAGCATGTACAAAGTGCTGACAATGTACGTAGAGAGAGTGGGAGTGGGTAAGTGATGGGGCAAGAAAGGAAGATTCTGCAAAGCTCAGTTACTATGTTGAGGATCAAGTCAGTTTACATATCTGGTTGATACAAAGCTTCAAAATCAAAAGCATTTTTAAAGTTGTTATGCACAATATTGGGATAAGGAAGTAACATTGATCAAACTCCCCCCCCCCGAAAAAATGTTTTTTAGTTAAAATATAAGCAAAAGTGATATTTAACCATACAATCCTTAACATGTCTACGGAGAACTATGCCCCATAGTTCAATGGGCTATTCTAAGGTGTATATATGATTGCAGCCTCATTTACCAAAATATCTTGCTATACTCAAATCAGCACTTTCGAGCCCATTATTATTCTAATAGCTCCACATCTTTCTGTACCAGATCAATACAAAATAAGTGGCATGTGAGATCATTTCAATAAATGCCTTGAAATTTTCACTTATTTAAAACTACACATACCGTATTTTTTGCTCCATAAGATGCACCTTTTTCCTCCTAAAAAGGAGAAATGTGTGTGCGTCTTATGGAGCGAATGCAGGCTGCACAGCTATCGCCGAAGCCAGCACAGCAAGAGCGAGAGCTGCGCAGCGCTTCTGGGTTGCTGGCTTCCTGGCTTCAGCAATAGCTGCACAGCTTGCTCTGGCTTTTCAGGGAGGTGGGAGAAGAGACAGAGGGCAGCCCATCAGTCCCTTCTTCCATCTCCTGGAAAAGTCAGCAAGAGCCACTTTATCTTTAAAGAGCCACGCCAAGCGAGCATGTCTGTGGCTCTTGCTGCCTTTTTTTGTTTTCCTCCTCTCAAAACTAGGTGCGTATTATGGTCGGGTGCGTCTTACAGAGCGAAAAATACGGTAATTCATAAGAATGCATTTAAACACTCCCAAACACTGATTCGTTACTAGTTGTGATGTTTCAGCACAAAAACAGCATCATAAAATAAAAGTATAAAGTTCTTTATAGCTTATCTAAAATTCAAGTTTAAAGGATATTATTAAGCCATAGCAAGATATGGTGTGGTCTATCAACTTGTAGCCGATAACCTCAAGGCAGGAGTCGGCAAAGTTTCTGTGGCTTGGGCTGGTTCACGGTCACGCAGACGCTGCGGTGGACCGGAGTGCGTGCATGCATGAGCAAACGCTATTTTTGGCGCTCCTTCCAGCGCGGAGGAGGCGTGCGCAGCAGGAGCTTCCTGCAGCCAATGGGAAGCCGGCCAGTGTTACGGAAGGCGGTCCCTGCTCTGTTCTGCGCCGGCTTAGCACAGCGCATGGGAGCCGACTGACCTGCAGGGGTGCATGGTCCAGTTAAGTGGCCCATGGATCTTAGGTTTCCGACCCCTGCCTTAAGGGCAGCTTCACACAATATATAATGGCTGTGTTTGGAAGTGCACATGTCAGCTTAATAAGTCATTAAGATTTGTGAACTTCATACTATGGCTTGTTTCAGAGCCATTAACAACACTTTGTCAGTTCAAACAAAGCCAGAAATGATAGTTAATCTCAGATTTCCTGGTTTATTTGCTCACTTGTGCAAGGAAAGGAACAAAGAGGCTGATGCACACCCACCAGTCTATTACACATCTTGATTAATTAAGCAGGTACAAGTGTCCAAAATTGTCCAATATGTGTTTACAACAGTATGTACAGACAACAGGGAACTATAATCCATAATTCCCAGTTCCATAGTACAGTACAGGTGACTCCCCACTTATGAAGAGTTACGTTCCAGGGCCCCACATGCATAAGTGGGGAGCCTACTGCAGTACATACAGCTTCCAGCCCAACAGCTGTTGAATGGGGTAGCACGGCAGCAGTGAGAGCTCCTGCATACCATTTCAGAGCCCCTGGAGAGTTTTGTTTTGTTTTGTTTTTTACTTTTGGATGACTGATGTCCTCTTCAGGCTCTGGGGAGGGGTTCCTTGTGAGCCACAAGGACTTTCCAGCTCTCTCTCACCGTTTTAGGTTAGTTAGTTATTTGTTGGCACCATGCATATATGTGGTCACGCCCGAAGTTGATCGCACACAATTTGGGGGATGCCTGTATTATAAAAATATAGTACCTTCAATTTGATGGGTACTTTACAGAGTAAAGACAAGACTTTGGCCTGGAGAAAAGAATTCTGTATTATTTCTTCAAGTAGCAGAGAGTCAACAGTCAGGAGAGAAATCAAGGCTCGCATTACGCTACAAGAAACTGACAGGAAAATAAAAATGTTATGAACAGGGAGTTGACACATTCTTGTCAAATTTTCTCACCCAGCATTGCCTACCTATATGGAGTTATGGTGGAACGTATAGTACACATGAATGCCAGTGCTGAAAACACTATATATATTAGGTTCTGATGCAAAAATGTGTTCCTAAAATCTGAATTAATATAGGTCTTATAGGATGAATTTATGTGTTGTTCAGAGGGAGAAGATTGTTGCACAACTTAGAAGCCTATTTTGCACACCTATACATAAAATACACACCTCCATACATTGTGTGATTAGTGCAAAAGCTAGAAGGAAGTTGGCAATGTAATTTTCACCACGGGGGTATCACTATTAAGATGGCATTACACAAATATATGAATAAAAAATTACGGGCCTCATTTTCTAAAACTATTATAGGTACAGTCCTATCCACACTTACCTGGAAGCAAGTTCCTTTAAAATCCATGGTATTTAAGTAAAAAAAAATTTTTTGGATAGGGTATAAGAACAGAAAGGAAAACATGTTACTGACAAATGTATCAGGCTTAATTCTATTAACTGTGATACTGCGAAATGCAAGCAACTACTTGCATGTGTTTGGAGTACTCTGATCTATGACATTTTAATTTTAATCCTGAAAAACTGGTTAAGTTCTCAAATGTGCTGCCTGAATGTCAGTTTTCTTTTTAGCATATACTTTTGTTGATAGTTTTGCTTATGCCCAGTGCAGAAAATTGTTATTTTTAAGATTAGTTGCATAACTCTCTATATTGCCTTATCTCTAAAGATTTTAAAATGTTACTGACAAAACAGCAAAAACATACTATCATCAATTATAGTGCCCTTCTTTGGGGCCCAACAACCTAAATGTAATTTCTTTTACAAAGCTTCTTGAACAAGTTGTTTCAAAAATAGCGGTAAGGAAAATGGAAGCAAGATGTGAAAGTATGTCCAAATAAACAAGGATAAAAATTAGAGCTGAGATGCTGGTTAAGTGAATTTGTTATCTGGCTATGGTCAAATATTTTCAAATATTCCATAAAATAAAACATGCCCTTGTACATGTAGCATAGTATATTCCGATATACTAATATAACATGCACACAACCCACATTTAATAGCAAGTTTGTCCTATTCTGCACTCCAGTGTGGTTCTAACTTCTCTTCTCTAAATTAAGCCACACTAGCTTTTATAGCCATGTGATGGGTCACAATGCCCAGGAGTAGGAAATACTGAAAACTGTTATGGAAACAATGAGGCTTCCACATGATCTGGAAGGGTGTCTATAAAGTTTGAGAGGGACTGGACTCTGGAGCCCTCCAGGGAAGAGTAATTTTGATCATAAGCACAATATTCTTTCTTCCTTGAGACTGTTCTGAAAAAATAATGTGGACAGTAGATGGCAAATTACCCACTTTTTAAAACCAATTGCCAACCTTATAAAAACTAATTCTCATTAGCAAGTAGTTAGAAATTTATTTTCTCACAACAAAAATAAGTATACTGCAACAACTGTTTCAAAACAGGATAAACTGATATGCACTGCAGTCATTTATTACCATGAGCAAGAAAGTTGCAAGACTGAACATATGATCAAGGTATTTACGGAAAATTTTAGTGCCGTTAATTAATACTATAAATTCCCACCTGGTGCAAGACCAGGTATTTTATTCATGTAACCCCTTCCCCTTACACAAAGTAGCTAGAGACAGACACACATACTGTGGGTGTGGCTAATTGTTTCACTATAAATAGAACTCTAAATGCAACTCTCTACATAAATATTAACTGTGCTCAATATGAAAGCATGTAGACATCTTGTTACCAATGTTTTGCAGCTGGCTGCCACCCAGATACAGAACTGTGTGAAGACTATCAAATATCACTATCAAGGTTGAAAAACAATACTAGATTTAGTACACATACTGGAATTTATTTTACTACTATCCATTCTAGCACAGAACTCTTTCACATCTCACCAATAATTATTTATTGTTTCTACTACACTTATTCATAATGCTACAAGCAAACAGCAATAAAACCCACTGATGATTCAGAAGGCTTGACTATGCATGAACATCTTAATAAAACAAAGAATGGCAACTGAACCCAAGTAAGCATTAATGAAACTGTATTGCTTCTTGGAAAACACGCCACTTTCAGGAAAACAAACAGCGGTTCAAGAAAGTGTGGAAACCGCTTATCTGCAAACCATTTTTAATTCTCTATTATGTTAAAAGGGTCACCTATTATCAGTCTGAGTATTAGTAATGACAGAGGTTTCAGTATCTTCCTCCAAACCACACCCTAAGTTGGCCTCTCCACTCTTGTAAAAAGAAAACCCACAACTTTTGTCTTTTGAATTATTTTTAAACTACAACAAGAATACCACACAAACTCAAATTAAAATGCTTTTAAGGACAGTAGTATAAGTGTTAAAAAATCCATAATAACCAAACTTTTAATAAGAGTGTATTTAATAAGTTTACAAATACAACCTGTACACTTTCAAAAAGCAATGCAGACTCTTCATAAAACTCTAGAATACCATGGGTACCAGCCAGCTACTTTAATGAAGTAGCAACAGTTAGGCTGCAATTTTAATTACTAGATAATAAATCAAAGAACTTTGTAAGATTTACTTTGGAATTAACATACTTAAGAATGAACTTTTAAGGCACTTTTACAGGCTGGGCTGGTTTTGGCTACAAACTTGTTCAATCTAACCTTGGTTGATGTATCATTTTTAAAAGTACTCCTAAAGCTACGCATTGCCAGAAAGAAGACTTCACATTTCTGCTGCTAAAAACTAAATTTCAGAGAAGGCTGCCTCCTCCCCTTCCTTGTATGGCTAGAATGTAGCTTGACAACCTTGACAGACTGCTCCCCACTCCCAATCCTCTTTTTTTCTTTTCGCTCCTCTTGTTCCACTGTCTGTCATTTCTCCCGGAACATTAAAAAAAGAAAAGGGAAAAAAAGACAGCAGTTTTCTGTACAGTGTGGAGAGGCAGAGCAAGCAGCAGCTTAGTCAGACTCTGCAATCCCCCCTACACATATTCAGAAAAAGGGGGAGGAAGATGGTGGTGGTTTGGTTGGGGGGGGGGGGAGAGAAGGGAAGAACCACAAAAAGGCGAGCAAAAGGTAACACTTTCTCAAGACTAATGCTGCTTCCAGACCGAACAAGGGCCCGGGGTGGGTGGCGGGGGCACCCTTGCGGTGGGAACCAGGGTTCATCCTCAGCCCCTTCCTTCTTCCCATCCTGCGCTTGGGGACCTGCGGGATGCCTTGCAAGTGAAGGCCCATCAACCCTGCAGGAAGGGTGGAGGGGGGGGGGAAAGGTTGTTGCAGAGGAGAAGGGCCTGCAGCAACCTTGGGAGGGAGCTCCGGGACTAGCAGGAGCCTCCTCTACCATTATTCCTCCCCCCCCCACCCCCATTGCGGGAGGTTTTTAAAGCCGGGTCGAGAGGAAGTGAGGCCTTTCGGAGGCCCTTCCTTAGGAGCCCAGGGTCATTCCGTCCCCTAAACCCACCCTCCCCAAAATAATAATTAAAACAACAACCACCACCCCCTTTACCTTCCGCCACGTCTTCGTCAATCGCCCCCTTCACCTGGGAGAAGCACCACTGGAAATCGTTGCTGCCGCCTCCGCCGCCGCCGGCCACCCCTGCGAAGAGACGGGAAAGGGAAGAAATGCCGTGAGAAGCCCGACCCTCGCCTCTCAGTAGCTCTCTCAACCCAAGATAAATAGGCCAAAACCTTCCAGCTCCCTCAGCCCGGCTCCCCGAGGCCTCAGGCCTGCCTCCGCCCGCCAAAACCAGGGCCACCCAAACCAGCCCCATAGCCGCTGCCTCTGGTGCGCCCCTCTCCTCACCTGCCATGTCGCGCCGTGTGTGTGGCGGGCGGAGACCGGGGCCTAGCGAAGCCCGCGTGGCAGACGTAAACCGACCGCGACCGGAAAGGGAGCCGCTACCAGCGACGCCGGTGCCCGAGCTGCTGCCGCCGCTGCCCCTGCCGCTGCTGCTGCTGCTGTGGCGGCCGCCACCGCCAGCGCCGACGCCGCCGGAGGTTTGGGGGTTTCAAAATGGCGCCCATTGCCGGTCAGCCTGATCCGGTGACGTCATCCCCCTGCCAGCCTCCGCCGGGCGGAGGGAGGGAGGGAGAAGCCGGATGGGCCTGAATGAATGGTGTGTGTGTGTGGGAAGAGAGAGGCAGGCAGGACTAGGCGGGAGGAGGAAGAGGGGAGTCCTCGGGTGGTGGAAGCGGCTCTCTGCTCTCGCGTGGGTTGGAGGAGGCTTCAGGTTCTCGCAGGGCTTGGAGGGAGACGGTTTGCTCGAAAGGGAAGGGGAGATTGGGGCTGCTTCCCCCCCCCCCAACAAAAAAAATAGGGGTTGAAAATCCAGCAGGGATTCGTGCCCTTCGGTGATGAACACGCCAGCAGTTAAAAGAGTCCTTCAAACTATACCAATTAAACCCTTTTAACGAGGGCCAGGTGAACAGTCACACCAGGTATAGTGAGGCGAGCTTTCGGCTTCAGCAAAATTGTGCTTCAGGCTGAGGCTTCTTTTTATTTCATTTGAAACTCAGTCCTGTTTCGTGGGAAACTTGGAAGTAAGGGGCCGCGGAGGATTTTGGTGCGGTCACCGTGTTTCCTCAACTATGTTAGGAGCCTATCCAGGAAGGGAGGCAGGTTAGGCTAAACATGTTGCCTTTACTTGGAAATAAAGGCCTTTAAAACAACAGGGTTTAAAACTCAACATGATACGCATTGTGAGGCAACGTTAGCATTTGCATCTGGAAAATAATTGGACGGAATATCTTATTCATGGTTATTGACTGTGAAGCAAAAACAGGGTTCCAGAGCATGTACAGAATGCATTTTCCTCACCAGTGATTTACTGGGGCCTGCCTAGAGGTATTTGGGATTACAGAGAGGCTCAGATCGATTGGTCCTTGTGCAGATGTGAGTTCTGCGTCTTCTCTATGGGTATAATACGTCCTCTCATTTGTTCATCTGCCCATTCTTCACAAAGTGATTTTCACAGGAGGCGCTTTGCAGAAGCTGCAAGCAGAAATGCTTGACCCTGCTTCCGCCTGCTGATTTTAATATGAAATGTTTTCCTTTTCAGCTACCTTTTTTCCTACCATGGTCTATGCCTGTGTTTACCTTGCAATCTGTGGCACAGCTGCAAGTCTTACATAATTTAATAACAAAGAAAAATATTTGTATAATACTTTTGTATAACCCACACATATTTTCTTAACAGAACGCAGTGCAGCTCCTGAAGCCCGATGTGGCATTTGCCAAGATGCCAAAGTTCCAGGAAACAGCTCCATTTAGCTTAGTATTGCCCATGCTGATGGATAGTAGCATCCCAGGGGAGGGAAAGTTGTTTCCATTCTTTAATAGAGATGCACAAGCACAATGTCAAGCCTGGCCGTCCTGTGCTTGCTCCCACATTGGTATTCTGAATACTTGGTACGAATTTACCCAAAGCCTTCTCTGCATTTCTTTTATAGTATGACAGCTGAGTAGCAAGTGCTTGTTATACCAAAGCTCAAGATACACCGTTGCTAATGCTGCTGACGTCAGTAGAACACGGGTGTGGAAACTCAGGAATGGTGGCCAAGTGCAGCTGTCTAGACTTCTCTGGCTCTCTAGGCCATGGGTAGGCAAACTAAGGCTCAGGGGCCGTATCCGGCCCAATCACCTTCTAAATCCGGCCCACGGATGGTCCAGGAATCAGCGTGTTTTTACATGAGTAGAATGTGTCCTTTTGTTTAAAATGCAACCCAATTTGTGGGGCATAGGAATTCATTCATTTCCCTGCCTCCCCCAAATATAGTCTGGCCCCCCACAAGGTCTGAGGGACAGTGGACCGGCCCCCTGCTGAAAAAGTTTCCTGACCCCTGCTCTAGGCTGTACGTCAAGCCACACCTCTCCCTAGGCTGCACCCCTCACCTGCCCTGTTTTGCACCTGCCTTGAGTGTTTCTGCCTGGCTGGAATGTGTGCTTGAAGCCTGATATTAATGCCCTTTGCTTGCCTGGATGAAGGATAGAGAGCGATATATGAGTGTATGTAAAACTAGCCTACTGTACAAAGGTAACATTTATATTGGTTGCCCAACCCACTTTGTCTTTGGCCCGGCCCTGCCCAGCACTGGCACGTGGCCACTGTAAGGTTGTGCCCCTAATGGAGGCAGGACGGAAACTGCTATCTCTGTAGCCCGGTTTGATATTTCAAATGCCAAGTGGCCTAAAAATTACACTGCTAAATAAACATAAAAGCGTAGGTGTTTGTGAGAGAGCATGAGAGAGAAACTCAGGTTTGGGGCAGGGGTTAAAGGGCAAGCAAAGTGTTGCTGGTTATATCTGCCACCTGAGATGTGCAGGGAATGCTTTAAATATTATATAAGTTAAGCATTTGTTTTTTCTCCTTAGTGTGAATATTTGAATCCTCACCCACTCCTTCAGAAAGAACATGTTGTTCCTTGGTTGGTTATACACATGGTCCTGCTCTATTCATGCAATCTGACTTGTTGGGGGCCAAATTTAAGTTGGCCTGTTATGCAGGTTGCAAAGCCCCCCCCCCTCTTTTACCATGAAAATTTAGCTTTCTTATGGGCAAGCAACTGAAAAAGGAAAGGGGAAACCCACATGTGTAACAATGAAAATAGAAAGAAATACATTTAATTCAGCATAGGGTTGTCCTGGCTGTGCTTTGATAAGATAGCTATATGCAGAAAGATATCATCAGTAGGGCTCTTCCTATAATAGTTTTGCAGTGACACAGTAAGGTATACTTAGTGTGTTTTAAAAGATGCAGAAGCTCTCAGAAGCTGGTTTGAGCATTATTTGTTCCAATGTGCTCCCCATCTTACACAAATATAAGATGGGGTGTACCTGGCTTGTAATGTAAAAATGATCTAGTAGCAGACCACAAGCTTAACAGGAGTCCACATTGTGATGCAGCAGCAAAAATAGCTAATGCTTTTCTAGGCTGCATCAACAGAAGTCTAATGGTTTGATCAAGGAAAGTAATGCATTGCAGGGGGTTGGGATAGATGACCCTCAAGATTCCAACTACAATTCTATGATTCTAGATGTGCTATAAATCCAACATACAAAACTGTGGCAGACTAATCTGTATCAAGTCTGCATAAGAGTCCTACTAGAATTGAATCCAGGAAGGAAACTCAAGCATAAGACATTCAAAATGTCTTTATGTGAATAGATTCCAAGGTAATTCCTTCATCTTGCCAATAATTTATGTTATTGTTATACACACAAGCCCTCTACATACTTGCAGAATGTTCTGGGATGCGATGCACACAGTTCAATCACATGATCATCACATGGGACATTGGCTGTGCTTACTGGGCATTGCTATCGGCTGATGTGAATTGAGAGTGGGACCTAGAACGCATTCAACTTTCTCCGTAGCTGCTGATTGTAGAAGATGCTTGGCAGGAGCAAGCAAGCTGCCTTTCAAGAAAAGTGGTCTCCCATTGGTGATCGCCCTCAGAAAATCCCTATAAGCTTCAGTACATAGCATGTTGGACTGTGGAAATGGCTTCAAATCCCATATCAATGAAGCTTACTGGACATCAGGGACAACAGCACTCAAACAGGCTGCGATTTGGTTGGTTGGTTGGGTGGGGGGTCAGGGGATGACTGCTGATAGCTGAGCCAGGATAAACAGGTGAGCTCCTGTTGCTTGGTCCCTGCTCCTGCCAACCTAGCAGTTCAAAAGCATGTCAGTACAAGTAGATAAATAGGTACTGCTCCATCGGGAAGGTAAACGGCGTTTCCATGCGCTGCTCTGGTTCACCAGAAGTCATGCTGTCCACATGACCCAGAAGCTGTATGCCGGCTCCCTCAGCCAGGAAAGCGAGATGAGTGCGCAACCCCAGAGTCCGCGACTGGACCTTTAGGTCAGGGGTACCTTTACCTTTACCTACTATAAAACTTTAAGATCTGCCACACTCATGGTCCCTTCCAAATCTATGATTTTATACTTTGTTTTCCATGTGCGAATCCCCTTAAGTCTGAGTACAGTGGTACCTCTGGTTACAGACGCTTCAGGTTACAGACTCCGCTAACCCAGAAATAGTACCTCGGGTTCAGAACTTTGCTTCAGGATGAGAACAGAAATCGCATGGTGGCGGCACAGCAGCAGCGGGAGGCCCCACTGGCTAAAGTACTTCAGGTTAAGAACAGTTTCAGGTTAAGAACGGACCTCCAGAACGAATTAAGTTCTTAACCCGAGGCACCACTGTAGTTTGTTGCAGGAAGGTTCCTTCTAGCCGTACTTGTTAGATCTGAGTATCTAATACTCTGTGGTCTTAGATTAGGCAAAGAGGCAGCAGTTGGCCCACCTCACAGGGCTCTTGTGAAGATAATATGAGAAATCTCATTTACGTCACCCTGGTTTCTTTGGATACAAATGAGAAAGGCATTTTATAAAAGGAGTGGGATGTGTATCTGTTAATGGTTTCTAACTATGAGAAGGGACATGAAGCTTCAGGGGAGTATATAGGATTCCATATCCTTTCTTTCAGAACTCCAGGCAGAAATACAACAGGAGTGGCCTCCACACTGGGTAAGGTATTCAAGCAGATGATTGCCAGCTTGCTCTAGACTCTCTTGGATGACACTGACTTTCTATATTAGTTTCAGGCAGGTTATAGGCCTGATTTTGGAATGGAAACTGACTTGGCTACCCTGTGAGATGACGTCTACCAAGACAAGGAGAGCAACCCTCGCTCCCAGTAGGAAGAAGTAGAGCTATTCAGTTATATCCAATGTCAGTTCCACTCTGAGTAGATCCCTTGAAAATAATGGGCCAAAATTTAAATGGGTTAATTTAAACAGATTTACTTTGATCAGAGCTAATGTTGGCTACAACCCAATTTGTTTATTTTGTGAGTGTTACAGAGCAAGGTGTTCGTAAACAAGGGCTATTGCTTTAAAAATAGAACCTCTGGCAATTCTAACTGCACACCTGTTTAAAATAGGATTAGGCTTCTGCTAGGCCTGTCTTTTAATAGAAAATCATATCATAGCTATGTGTCTTTCCCCTTGGCATGTATCTTTGTAGATGTCAAATTACGCAAACACATTTCAGCATTACATACATTTAATGCATGCACACACCTTTTCGTGTATAAACTCTCATGCCTTGTTCTGTTAACTGCTATGTTGCTAATTGTTGTGTGGGGTGGTTTGATTTTTTGCTATGGTAAAAAGTGTTCATAAAGAACAAAGCTGAGTTGCAAAAAGCAGTGGCCCTTATATTTACATGTCCCAGCTTAAAACTCTTAAGAATTTAGTCCTGCTGGATAAGATCAAAAGAGCGTGTAGCCTAGCACTCTTTCTCCTGCCAAATATCTCTAAGCTCACAAGCAGGGTATCGTGGAGGCAGTAATCCCCAGTTTATTGCCAGGTTTTAAACCAGTGATAAACCACTGCTGGTCATGAAGGTTCTGTTCCTACCTATTGTGGCTATAATTAATCGATGAGCTTAAATGGCGAATCTACATTATCAAAGATGATAGAAAAAGTTTTGGCAACATTCATTTAATACAATATCAAGTTTGTTTCTTTTAAGATTTCTGATGTTTTCAAATGTTGTTGTTGTAGTAGTAGCAGTAGTAGTAGTAGTAGTATACCTATACCGTATTGGCCTGAATATAAGCTGCACCCCCCCCCCCCATTCTGACCATGAAAAGTTAAAGTGTGGCTTATATTCACGACCTTACGCCGCTGGCAAACCAGTGCAGCTCCCCCCACCAGGCATAGCTGTCAACTTTTCCCTTTCATTGCGAGTAATTTGCTTTGCAAAAGTTGTATATTAGGCAAAATGCATACCAAAATATGTATATTAGGGTAAATGCACACTAAACAATGTTTTGCTCATGACTTCCACCACGGTAAATCCCAACTTTGGGGCCTTTTGGTCAAGAGACCATTTTTCCAGGCACGTTTGTTGACAGGGAACTGTTGTGTAGCATGAAGAACAGCTGTGGTCAATCAACTCAGATGCTTTTTAATTTAATTTTTTAAAAAATTAAAAAATTGCTTCAACTAGTGCAGTAACTAGCCCAGACCCTTCATTGCTATTTTTCATCACTGAGATTTTTTAAGTAAATAATTTACTGTGGATATTTATCTGCGAAGCAACTCCAGGACTCGCCCTCTGCCCCATCAGCTGTGAGGTGCCTGTTTAGGAGCTCCTGGCACACAACAGAAACTGGTAATGTGTAGCAATTGGGTATTGAGTTACACCATAGCCTATGCTGTGTTGTGGTGATGTCATCAACTCCAGGGCAGGGCTGTTGGTTTGCTTTAAATCCCTCTAGTTGAAGTCAGTAGGAAAGAAATTATTTGCAAAAGTTCTGGGGTTGGTGTAAAGTTGCATCAACAGTGGGGTGTGGAGCTGTGGTTTGGAGAGGTTTAGGAAAGAGTGTACATTCCTCCCTGTCCCACCCACATCACTGTATATAAACAGCCTCGGCCCAGTATACCTGAAGGAGCATCTCCACCCCCATTGTTCTGAGGTCCAGCTCCGAGGGCCTTCTGGCGGTTCCCTGAGAGAAGCGAAGTTACAGGGAACCATGCAGAGGGCCTTCTCAGTGGTGGTGCCCGTCCTGTGGAATGCCCTCCCATCAGATGTCAAGGAAATGAAGAACTATCTGACTTTTAGAAGACATCTGAAGGCAGCCCTGTTTAGGGAAGTTTTTAATGTTTGATGTTTTATTGTATTTTTAATATTTTGTTGGAAGCCGCCCAGAGTGACTGGGGAAACCCAGCCAGATGGGGGGGTATATTGTTGTTGTTGTTGTTATTATTATTATTATTATTATTATTATTATTATTATTATTATTTCCATCTTGCTAGCATATCATTGCCAACAAAATAGCCACACTGTTTAGTTAATGTCTGTTGTTGATTTCTTCTGACTATTTTAATACAGTGGTACCTCGCAAGACGAATGCCTCGCAAGACGAAAGACTCGCAAGACGAAAGAGTTTTTGGTTTTTTGAGTTGCTTCGCAAGACGAATTTCCCTATGGGCTTGCTTTGCAAGACGAAAACGTCTTGCAAGTTTGTTTCCTTCTTCTTAAAACCGTTAATACCGTTAAAACCGTGCTTCGCAAGACGAAAAATTCGCAAGACGAAAAAACTCGCAGAACGAATTAATTTCGTCTTGCGAGGCACCACTGTAACGTGATTTTATGGAACATGAAAATAAAGGTTAGTGTTGGCGTTTTTTAAAGCAGCAATTTTTCTTTCTGTAACTTCTTCCCCAGTTGCTTTGGAATGATGGGACAGTGTGGGGAGAGTCACTCTTTGCTCCACTTAATCCAATGTAGTGTGATGCCAGGAGTTATTAAATCCAGCCGCCTTTTGCTAATGGGTATGGCTGTATATACGGAGTAAGGCTCTATCTCTCTTAGGATCCCTGAAACATTGTCATCAGCTCCCAGAGGATCTGCCCCAAAGTCTTGAGAAGAAAGGCGAAAGACTTCACCACCTTGACAGTAATAGTGATGTGGCTTTTGTAGGCTGGTATGCAAAGAACCTAGTCAGTCCTTTGACTAATGACAATTCTTGAGCCAGTTATTTGACACTCCTTGTATACTTCTACAGGATATTACAAACTTGGTGAGTCAGCTTTTGCAGATCCAGCTTTGAGTAAATGAGTGCTTGGAAGTATTGCTTTGTCAGGATCTATTCTTGGTTGTGATTTAGCAGCAAGTAAAATGTGGTGGCTTGTAGCCCAAGGGGAAACCTTGCAAAAGAGTAAAAACAAGTTTTCTTTCTACAAATCTGACACTTTTTATCTATAGGAAACAATCGTTTTCTGTAATCCTTCTCTTATTTGCTAATTAAATTTTTTTTTTTTTTTGTAAGGCTGGTCTTTCAAATGTTCAACAAGTTATTTCCAAGTCTTGGCACAGAGTATTACACAAAGCCTCCATGAGCTCAGATGTAAGAGAGGAACACCCTTTGCTGCTCATGGAGGTGGAGCCTTCAAGAGAAAGGTTCGTCTGTCTAGTCATTCCTCAAATGTTTAACAATATAAATCAAACTTACCAATAGAGTTTGATTTTTTTTAAAAAAACACCCCAAAACTAACCTGTCAAGTTCACAATTCACATATTAATTTGATGCTTTAATATTTCTAAAATGGTGAGAAAAATGTTTTGATCGAGATTAAAGAAAGGGCTTAATTCCATTAACAGCTGCAGGTGAAATTATGTGTACTGCTCCTCTTGGCAACCTATGATAGGATATTGGAACAGTGAAGGGAGGGAGAACAGGAATTGTGTTAACTATAGACAAACAGGAATTACTAAGTTTCCAGCACCAATGGTTGTAATAAAAGAGTATCATATATTTTAGGGCTTCAGCTCAGTTTCATATTTGAGTTATGTAAAATGACAATAAATATTTCATTCTCCCCCCCCCCCATGAGGACAGTAGACGTTAGCATAGGGACAAAATTTGCCTTTAAAAAGCCATCTGGTCAGTAAACAAACCAACTTTTTTTGGGGGGGGGGGAATCCCTTATTCATTGATGCTTGCCAGTTGGTTGTTTGTTTGTCTGTTTTCCATTGTTTCATCTTTACTGGGAAAGAAGTCGGAGAAATATGCGATTTCCAGAACTACTTTAATTGCAGCTTTGCTTGAAGTACTTTGAGTGTGTGTGTCTTTTCTCTACTCAGCCTGGCTAAAACATTTTGTTACTCAAATCAGCAATCTAATAAGAGCCTAGACTGGAGTGACTAACTTGTTTTGGGCCCCTTGGCTGCCTTCACACCTGACCAACTTTCCTGCAGCTCCATGAACGAAACTGGGTGTAGCCAGCACACCAATAACTCTCTCTTACACACACAATTGTGCAGGACACACAGCCACTTCCTCCTCTGTTGATCCATGTAGATCAGCTGAAAGGAGGGGGTCATCAGCCCCTCTACACTTATCAAATGACAAATGTGATGACTGGCAAGGATGAAGTTTGCATTGCCATCAAACCATTGGACAGTGCCATGTCTACTTAATGTCTCCCACCTTCTGCTGCTTATGACAAACTTAGTGAGGTTGCGGTGGGTCAGGAGAATATGCTTGGGAGTCCAGTTCAGGATAGGCACCCCTGGTCTAAAAATATGCAATAGGAAGAGGGCATATTGCCTATATATGAAATGTTTGTCTGGGATGACAAAACACGGTGGCTATCAATATATGGAGTGTGCTGGTGTTTTGTTTTTTAGCTGCAGCAAAACTCCCCACTCCTTTCTGATTTGCAGTCATCTGGCTTTCATCCAAACTCTGTATTATGTCAGGCACTTCATGAAGTGCCAGCCTGTATCACATTAAAAAAAGGAAAAGAAACATAAAGCTGAGTCTCACCAGCATGCAGCTCTTACTTTCTAACTTCTGAGAGGGTGTTCACATGTGTGTTGAACCTGGAGGAAGTCTGGGGAGATGATTTAGCTTCTGGAATTGTCTTCATAAGTTCCTTGACCACTATAATTAGTGTGATGACATGGGTGGAGTAGAAAAATAACTGATAAACCAAGAAATGACATTTTTATGAGGGTGTAAATGTGTCATCTACAAAATTGTTTGGTACTTGGTAACTCTTGGCAAGGATATTGACCTATCCAGTTGGTTTATTTTAGCAGACCACACCTTCTTTGAGGTTGGCAAGATACTTGCCTTGTCTTGTCCTCTTGCTGATGCCCTACTTCCAACAGACAACCCAGGCACAGATCCAGTTGCTTTGACATTAAAATCCCCTTCAACATCATTATGACACTTATAGTTGCTTCACGTCAGCCTTTGCCTTGTTCATACTCATAGTTTGCTGCTGGGAATGAACTAGGCCCATCTGTGGTCACTCACCACGAGACATCCATCAGCACAATTTGTAACGTAGATTAAAGTCATGTCATTAGAATCTAACTTCCTTGGACTTTAAATTCTATTATGAAAGTTGTACTGCAGGGGCAAAACTAGGCTTTATTTCACCTGGGTCAAAGACCCAGTTTGGCACACACAAACCCCACACACATCTGTGTACATACACACACAGACTGGGAGCCTCAGTGGCACCCCTCTGCAGGCTTTGCCCTGGGTAAAGCCTGTTTGGAAAATCTTGTTTGTAATGCCACCCAAATGGCATTACAATGGTGGCCTACCCCCCCCCCCCAAGTATCCATAGAAACAGTTTCAAAGCCCACCAGTTAGGGACTTTGCAGGCAATGTTGCCCACACTTTGAGGAAACCAATAAGCTCTCAAGGGCAGAGACATGCTCAGAACACCCCTTCTCCACAGCAGGCATCACTCAGTTATCAGATTGCTCCTGTGCTCATTTTCTAAAAGGCCGTACCTCCCATTTCCAGCTGCTGCGTTAGGTGAAGCCTTAATTAAAACCTCAGAATTTGCCTCCAGTGTCACCCTAATCTTGCAATGGAAATGCATGCATGCATGTCTCTGTGTGTATTTTCCAGAAGCAAAATTAAAAGAACCGTGAGTCACGGTTGCATTTGATTTGTAAGCTAGGTGTGGTTTCAGATGCTCTGTCTATCCTTTCACTCTAAAACAAGTCTCTTTTTTTTTAATAGAGGGCAGAATTGACTTGAGACAGCATTTCTACCTTTCAAGGCCTTTCGTCTCTCCGCATATCTCTCACGTGAACCAACAAGTCCGTTTGCTCTCTGAGAATGAAAGGATTAATAACCTCTCTAAGGTGGGGTTTGAAAAGGAGCCAATGAATATGAAGCGTGGCTGCTTCCTGAAATGTGTGACAGAATTATGTTCTAAAGATAGTACAAATTCTTATGTCTTTCCTTCTGGAGACAGCTATAAATAAACAAACAGGAGTTGGGGAGGAGAGGGGAATCAGCAGAAGGCCCCTGGGGAAGGGAAGAGCCATCACAATGTAAGTAAGTCAGAAACAGCTACAATTCTTTTTTTAAAAAAAATTGCTTGTGGGTTTCTATTTTGGTAGCTGTTAAAAGGAGCTTATAATTTCTCCTTTAGTGTTAATCAAAACAAATGTCACTGGGGTGTGTATGTGCATGTGTGTGTGTTTAACGCTCGCAGACGCCCAATGCTTTCCCCGTAAAAGAAGCTCCTTTAAGATTTTGCAAAAGCAATCTTGGAATGCTTCGTACAAAGATCATGAAACAAAGCCAGCATTCCTTTGCCAATTCCAGGACTGTGGTCACATCCACACACGTCCACATTTAAAATGCATGGTTTCTTCCAAAGAATCCCAGGATCTGTAGTTCACCCCTTGCAGAAGTACAGTTCTCAGCCCCCTTAATAAACTTAAGTTCCCAAGATTCTTTGGGGGAAGCCATGAGCTGCATGTGGTGCCAATTCTTCTTTCAATGCCAGGAAGTCCATCACTCTTGGGGAATCCCCGATACTACCGGAGAAAGGCTAAATGGCTGCTGCTATGTTGAAAACTAGTTCAAGTAAAGCAATAGTCGCTGTTTTTGGCATTTTCCATGGCCCTTTATATGTTTATAGCTTGCTTCCCCACTCCATCCTTCCACTGTTGTTTTGGCTGCTGCCTCCTGATTTTGAACTGCGATTGGGAAAGGGAATAACAGTGATCTCAACAGGCAAGGAAGAAGCTGCAGAAGTAGGATCTTGAAGGTATAACAGCACTCTGGTGATGGAGCGTCACAGCCACAGCAGCAGAGCCTAGTAAACTCTTCCAGTTTAACTATGGCAAGAAGAACCTTGAGGAGTATAAACTCTTTTGCTCACAATGCAAATGGGAGAGAAATAATTTGCAAAAGGAAGAATAGACAGCATCTGGGTGAGGGGCAATCCAGTGTTTTTCACAGGGCATAATTTCTATGATCATGTTCCTACTGGGCAGGCCCAAGATATTGTGGCCCCTGAGGCGAACCAAAAAATGGTGCTTCCCCACCATGGAAGAAGCAGTGAGTGAAGACCTGCGTCAGAAACAAGGGGGGCAAATAAAGATCTACATTGGGATTTGCTGCCCCTGTGCATTCTGCCACCTGAGGCGATTCCTTCACCTTGCCTCCTCGGTGGACCGGCCCTGCTTCTGGCTTTGTGCTTGGGCTCTCGGGACCCGCAGAATAACTCCCATCAAGACTAAAGTGGATGGCCTAGAGAATCTGAAAGAGCTGCCTAAGCGAGGTCTTCAGTGACACTGGGTCTATATGAACACTGCAGATGCCATGAGTCATCTCAATTAAATACCAAGGTGCTGGGGAAGATGTCCATTGTTGTGGTCCATGTGGGCATCAATGTCCCTGAGAAATGAAGCTGAAGCAGGCCGTGGAGTCCAGCTTGTCTGAATCCATTGCTGCACAGTGCTATTGCACCCAGGTACTTCTTGCAATCTTCCCAGAGCTATCTCATCTGTTGTGAGAACAAGATGCTGGACTAAATGAGCCATAGGCCTGATCCAGCAGGCACTTCTTATTTTCTTATACTGAGTCAGACCACTATCTACCTCAGTATTGTCCACACCAGGAGTGACACCTCCCAAATGCTGTTGGACTCAAACTCCTATCAGCCCCAGTCAGTATGGCCAATCAGCAGGGTAATGGGGGCTGTAGTCTAGAGGGCCACAGGTTCCCAATCCTCAGTCTATGATGGCAGCTCTTCAGGATTTCACACAGAGATCAGAAATCTCCCAGCTTTCCCTGGAGATTGAACGGGGGACTTTCTACTCTGCCACTGAGCTTCAGCTGTTTCCCTGTATTAACCCTATTTTGCCAGTCTTGCAGCATCCTTTATGATGTGAATGGAATCCTCCTTGGCATTTCTCAGAAGTGGTGTAAAAAAGCGATAGTGCCTCTCATGCAACTCTCATTTGTTTCCGTTGTGTTTGCTCATGAGAATCCCTTACTGGACTGTGCTTTTAGTCCCTCTGTGCTGTGCTGTATCTGTTTAGGATAAGAGCCAGGAAGTCTGAGTTTGCTGGGTTTAGTTTGTGGGATCTTTGACACACAGCATTTGTCTGTGCTTCTAATATGTATCAATAGTCTTTTCAGATGACTCAGCTTCACTAACAATGTATATTTCTCTTTTAAAAATAGTATTCATGATAGATTTACTGCGTAGCTGTCTCGGTGAGATAACGGGCCAAAGGATTTACATAGGGAGAGCTATATCCTCGTTTTGCTACTATATGTGAATGTAGCATTTGATTATTTGCTTTGGCTCCTTGGAGAATGCCATAGTATTCTGCATTGGGATTTTTATGCACCAAAGCCTGAGCCACAGCAAATCCTTAAAGCTTATTTTGAGATCAAATGTGTGATCAAATGACATGGTGATTCGGGATACTGAAAAGGGTTATCAGGGGTGGGGCAGGGGAAGGAAGAGAGAAACTTAATAAAAAGAATTGCCTGAGGCTGTAACCCTAAGCACATCTACACTGAATACAGCGAGCCTTGATTACAAGTAAATATGCTCAGGATTATGCTGTCACTCTTGTTTTGGTTTTGTTTTTTCTGCTGCAGACATTCATTTAAATTCCTATGCCTTAGTTATGTGGTAGGATAAATAACGGTGGATGCACTGAAGCTCAGATGACCTTTCACTGGATGCTATCTATCATCACACTCTCCCATTTCCTATTTGTTTCCATCAGTCCAAATGACCCCTTTTCTAGTGACTACTAGTCATTCTTGCTGGTGGCGCTGTGGTCTAAACCACTGAGCCTCTTGGGCTTGCCGATCAGAAGGTTGATGGTTCAAATCCGCATGTCGGCGTGCGCTCCCATTGCTCTGTCCCAGCTCCTGCTAAAGCACACCAGTGCAAGTAGATAAATAGGTACCGCTGTGGGGGAAGGTAAATGGTGTTTCCGTGCACTCTGGTTTCCATCATGGTGTTCCATTGCGCCAGAAGCGGTTTAGTCATGCTGGCCGCATGACCCGGGAAGCTGTCTGTGGACAAATGCTGGCTCCCTCGGCCTGAAGCGAGATGAGCGCTGCAACCCCTTAGTCGTTTTTGACTGGACTTAACCATCCAGGGGTCCTTTACCTTTTACTTTTACCTTACTTCCAGGATCAGAGGTACGATGCAGGGAAGCATGAGTGGGAGAGGGCTATTGAGCTCAAGTCCTTCTTGCAGGATTCCCATGGGGATCTGGTGTCCCACTGTGAGAATAGGGTACTGAGCCAGATGATCCAACAGAGTTTTTCTTATGTTCTCATGCCTCTTTGCTCCAGAGGCAATTGTTCCATTTTGAATGAAGAGGTGAACGGAACCCCCATCTTGACAGAGCTCAAACGCCAATATGACTGTGATAAATGCAACTTTCCACCATGAATGTGTTTATCACATAAATTCCTCATGTACACGAATACCTTGTGACGGCAGAAAAGCAACAGAGCATCATTTCAATGTTTATTGCATACCTTTTGACAGGAGCATTAAAATCCGAGGCAAAGTGGCATCAATGAAAAGAGTGTGCAGCTGTTTTCTTGCAAATGGACACGAAAATAGGTTAGTCTTATGCCTGGCAGCGAAAGAAAAATCTGATATGATCTGAAGTATCCATTTTGTTTTTCTTTTAATGAATGAATAAAGGAAGATAGCCGAGAGATGAACAGTCAGTATAAGCAGGCATTTTATGCACCATCAACTCATTCTCTCATCAGCACCAACGGGAGAAAGTCTCTTATATTTTTCTGAATGTTGAGAGAGCCATATTAGCAACACAGCAGTTATATGAAAGGTATAATGCTGCCACCTGCTGGCTGGCATATGTATGCATTATAGGTGATTTTTCCTCCCTTGTTTATGATTCTCCTCTTCTACTGTTAACCTATAGGCCTGCTATTGGAATACTGCTGAGGTATTCCAGGCAGATATTTATGTGCACGCTCACCATACCATTAATGGCACTTATCATTGTGAAGCTGACATGAAGCACAATAGATTCCATTGCACTTCAATGCAGTAATGATACTTCTGCAGTTGGCACAGGTGTTGTGCAAACATGCTGTCATTAAGACAAACAGGCCTTACAGGTTCATCTTCAAGAGACGTAGCTCAGAAAATGAGACACCGACAATGCAATCGCTGCAATCAATAACTGTGTAACAAAGAACCCTGGAAAACTTCCTTTTAAACATCGTGTCCTCTGTAATATTTCTCTGTTCTACTGTTTTGTGGTTACCAATTCAGCTTTTAATCTATGAAGAAGGGATGCTGTGAAACTGAAAGAAATCACTATTTGGCAGCTATTATTAAAACAAACAGTTATGCCTCACCCAAAACGAGGAGACTACTTTGCATAAAAATAGCAGATGGTAATTTATAGGTAGAGACACAAATTTAGGAATCATGACTGAAAATAGAAATGTAATGCATCTCAACATAGGGTGGAATACTGTGTCCAGGTCTGCCCAATCTGCTACCCAGGTACTGCTAACTGTTGATGAACAACTTCAAGGATTCTGCTCTCCCACTTTCTGCTCTCCTGTTTTTTAACCAGATATGGACGGGACAGTCCTCAAATAGGCATCTTCAAAGAGAGGACTGTCATCTGTAAAGTAGGGCACGTGACTACGATGGATATTAGGACCAAAGTGGACATTGCATGCAAATACATGCAACAAATTATTTGCCTCTTTCACAGCTGCAAAAAAACTGGTTCTACATCTTCATCAAGCTATCTAAGGGCTCATTCCTAGTCAGTCACTGCCAGGTGGTTGTTTTTGCCACAATTTTCATCACCTCATGCTTGCTTACCCTGAACAGCACTTTCGATGTTACCATCCAGTTTGGAGTGATATGTTTGGAGATCTTTATAATCCGCTTGCAATCACCCTGAACAATTAGTCTCATTGGCTACTTATCTGTTTACCCCTACCTCTAGATCATTTATGAACAAGTCCCTATACTGATTCTTAAAAGACATCTTCATCCCTCCCCTGGGAAAACTGGCCATATATTCCTACTCTTTGCTTCTTTTGTAATCATTTAATGATCCACAAGTGAACTACAAGCAATCCTTGTTTTGCACGGGTGTTACATTCTGGACCCTTGTGTGCATCGGTGGAGCGTGCGTAAGCCCATTCAACTCCGTTCTGCCCCTTTTAGTGATGCTTTTATGACATTTTGGGGCTACTTCTGGATTTGGCGCCATGCACGTGCGCACAATTGCATGTCATTCGGATGCACCTAAATCAGTCATTGCCTGTACTCATCATATTCCCTGGCTGCTAAACTTACTCAAGAGTATTTGATGTGGTACTTTTTGAAAGTCCAAGTACACAATGTCAATGTGATCATCTCTTTCTATATACTCGACGACACTAAAAAAACCCTCTGGGTTAATGAGACAGAATTTGCTATTGCAGAAGCCATGCTTTCTTCTTCAACGGTTTGTGTTCTTTTTCATTCTCTTCATGTGCACAAGGCTTCCATTTTCTAAAGCAAGCCTTCTTGTCTCTAATAGTATATTTGACGCTCCATGTTAATCATGCTGTCATCGTCTTGGCCCTGGTGATACCTCTCCTATCTCAAAAACAGAAGGTAGATGTCAGGGCCCATAAGATATATCTCAACATTCATGTGAGGGCAATGCATTTTATTATGCCAACCATGTCCAACCAAATAATGCACAAGCTTTTGAGTTCTCTAGAATGCTTCATCAGATTTGGTCAGGATTGCCAGTGTGGTGCCTTCCAGACATAACTGGACTCCAGCTCCGATCTACCCCAGCAAGCATGGACAATGGTCAGCTATGATGGAATCTGTAGCACAGGACTAAGGCTATTAACCATGTTGATAAACCTAATTTCTGAATGGAAAATTGCAAGCAGTGCTGTAACATTGCCTTCAGATGAACCCCATTTCACATTGACACCAAACCTCCCATTAGCACACAAAGCCCCTTTGCTGTAGTGAATGGTTAGATAAACCTGCATGAATTACCATTAAGCAGTTGCTGCCTTTCCAATAACCTTTCCTTGAAATGAATTAATCCAGCTTGACTGGTTCATTTATCTTCCAGGTATTACAGCTGTGGGCTCCTGAACTGTGCTTCCGGACTGTCTCTATTTTCAGGTACCAGCAAATTCAGGATGCACAATTGAAGTCGATTCAGAGCTCTTCTGTACAAACCTGCTTCGCCGAAAGATTGGACATTTTGCAAGAATGAAAGTGATGGGGGAAATGCCATAGAAATTGTGGGGTAACATTTGCTTGCTGCAGCATCAGCTAACCTCCTCACAAGCAAATAACTCCTCAGTAAAGAATTGGCATAATAATCTAATCTCCCCACAAAAAATCAGGAGGAATGCACAATAAACAGATCACCTGGAAGCGACCTCGTCTGAACTTTCAGAAAAAGGCCATTGTTTAAAAGTCACACCTACATTATACATTTGAAGAGCTCTTATCCCACTTTAGCAGCCACAAAGGATTCTGGGAACTGTGATTTGTTAAGGGGGCTTGACAACTGTAGGTCTGTGAGGTCAGAACCTTCCACAAACTATGCTTCCCAGGATTTTTGGGGAGACCTAATGACTGTTAATGAGGGATGTGGGTAGCACTGTGGGTTAAACCACAGAGTCTAGGACTTGCCAATCAGAAGGTCGGCGGTTCGAATCCCTGCAACGGGGTGAGCTCCCGTTGCTCAGTCCCAGCTCCTGCCAACCTAGCAGTTCGAAAGCATGTCAAAGTGCAAGTAGATAAATAGGTACCACTCCGGCGGGAAGGTAAACGGCATTTCCGTGCGCAGCTCTGGTTCGCCAGAAGCAGCTTAGTCATGCTGGTCACATGACCCGGAAGCTGTACGCTGGCTCCCTCGGCCAATAAAACGAGATGAGCGCCGCAACCCCAGAGTCGGCCACGACTGGACCTAATGGTCAGGGATTCCCTTTACCTTTAATGACTGTTAAAGTGGTATAAGACTCCTTTGGTATGGTATAGATGTGACCTTAATGTCAGAACACATGCTTCCTATGCAGCTTGACCTACATTCACTCCCTAACCTCATCGGTTGAAAGTAGCATGGTTGGGAAAGATCTGAGTTTGATCAATGCACAGGCAGTACTGGGATAAATGGACCAAATGTCTTAGCGTATAAGACTATGTTGGGCTTACGGAATGCTTCTTCTCATGGTCACGCAAACATATTTTCAGAAGGGTTCTTTACAGCCTGCGCCATCTCTTTTAATCAATGGTTTCAATCAATGGTAAAAACGCAGGAGGCTTTTACACTTCTTCACATTGCTAGCATTTAGAGCGGGGGAGATGAGTCGTGCTGTAAAAACTGGACCAGCTGAGCTCCATCAGGGCAGCACTCTGCCATTGATCATGTTTATGCTGAGATAAGCAGACTTCACTTTTGACTTGCCTACCTTTTAAAACAAAAACAAAACAAAACAAGAATCTTCATAGTCTGCAGGTGTCAGGCGTGGAGGTCCCCCTCCTCCCCCTGAAGCATCAGAGGCAAGAAGAAGCAGTTCGTATTTTCTGCGTTTTTTATTATTATTATTCAGTCATCTGGTTGCAAGACAAAGAATCCATGTCTCCATGCAAAGGAGACATTGGCTACTCTGAGTCCCTCCTCTTCTGCCCCCAACAATATCCTGAGTACCTACGGGAAGTCCCAGGACTTTGTTTTTGAATGCGGAGGGACCGACAAGCTCTTGGAGAAGGAGGATCTCCCAGACTCTCCAGGGAAGTCTCTGCTGGCTGCTCTCTCACTTCCCCCTTTTTCTCCACTATCTCATAACTAGGCATGTCTTCACTCGGCTGTAAATCAGCCCTGTCTCCTTCTCCTCCTGAAACTGCTGGAGACAAGGGTGTGTGTGTGAACCTTCTCCCTCTCCCTCCTCTTCCGAGAGGAGCCAAACAGACCGAGGGGAAACTTCCCAGCCCTGCTGTTCAGTCCATTCCCTGACAGCAAGCATGCTTACAATATATGACGCAAGATGCATCCTCAGGTTCTCTTTAACTCAGGAGTGGGAAACTTGTGGGCTTTCATAAGTTACTGGAGTCCAGATCTCATCAGCCCTAGCCAGCCTGACCAATGATCAGGCTATATAGGTGTTATAGTCCATCAACATCCAGAGTGTCATAGGCTTCTCACCCCTTGGCTAGCTACTGTTGTTGGCATCTATCTTTTCTCAGGAGGAAATGGAAGAGTGCTCCTTTGCGGGTGAAGTCAAACTGTTAGAAGGTTGCAGCTATGGCAGTGGCTGTAGAGACCAATGTGGGAGAGACATGGTTTGTTGCAGGCGGAGCAGGTGAAGGCATCCACTTTTGCCCATAAAGCTGCATCATGGCTGTCAGGAACGAGCCAGCTCCAAGCGAAGGTTTGCAGCCAAGTGCAGAAAGCAGCCAGGAACAGAGAGGCTTTGATGTGAGTCAGGCAGAGGAGAGCTGGCAGCTGCAGACTTTGGCTCTTCCTGACCTTGACGGGCAGGCTGATAAGGCAGTAGCTGAGAGCAGGCTAGAACACAGCCAAAGCTCACCGGAAGCACAAATAGGAACGAATAGATTCAGAGACAGCCTCTCATAAAAGGAAGAGGTTAGAGCTGATCCACTAAGTCCAAAGAATTGGCTAATGGGAGGGCTGCTAGATATGAAGCAAAACAAGAGACGTAAGGATTGTAAGTTCAATGTCTTCTGGCGATGCCGGAAGGAGTCTTCAGAAGGGTCATCTTGAGTAGTGATGCCGGAGGCTTTGTCAGAGCCCTCTGGAGCTATCTTTTTGTTTTTGCAATAAATCCTCCTTTTTAATTACCTACACTTAATTGCCTACAGCAGTCGTTCCTCCTGTGGTCACTGCTGTGGATACAATTACTTGACTGTCTACCTCCAACCACTGTGATCGTTTGCAAGGGATTTCCATATGGTTGGGGTTAAAGTCACCAGCCTTCATGTTACATTTGCAGACGTCTTTGTAACACAGAGTTGGCCTGCCAACAGGCCTGGCGCTTGAAGCCAGCTGCTCACAGAGCCCATCCTTGGGGATTCTGCCATCTTCCATGACCAAGCCAGCATCCATTGCTGAGACAGAAGTGCAAACAGGATATGGCCTTGGGAGAACACATCTTTGTTTGAGCATCTGTCCTGCCATGTGATGCCCAAAGTCTTCCTGGTGCATTACATAGGGAAGGCATTGAGGTGTCGCTTCTGGCAACTGCAAAGTTATATTGAGTATGCAATCTTGCTTAAAAGAATAATAATAATAATGGCTTTGGTGGATCAGATTAAGGTTTAGCTAATCCAGCATTCTCTGCAAACATTCCAGCAGCCCATAGGTATGGGTTGGTACAGACCAATTGACCAATGAACTGTCATAGAACCAGGCTTTATCTTTTTTCCTTTAAGCCTTTCCTGCCTCCAAAAACACACAGGATTGTCATTTGTGATGCATCAATAATCTAGTCTTGCACGTAACAGAATCTTTATTTCTTGCCTCACCTCAAACAATTCTGAACCAATCCAGCAATCTGCCTTCTACTGTGGTCTGCCTGAAAATGATGATGATGATGATTAATAATGGCATTTGTATGGCACCCCATAATATACAGTTTTCTGGGCAGCATGTACCAAATACATTTAAAACATTTCAAAAACAAAATCTGACATCAAACCCTTAAAAAAATATCTAACAGACATGCAAGGAAAACAAAACTCACGGCAACCCTAAATATGGCCTTCTGTTCTGGTTATTTGCTGTGGCTTTATGTGCATTGTTATGTTGTATGTGCTAGAGCAGCAGAGTTTTCCAAACTGTGTGTTGCGACAGTTTAGTGTGTCAGCTGCAGTGTGTAGGTGTGTCACGCAAACACTCCCCTCACTACTCCTGGTTTGCTAGTAAAACTGAATTATTGTGTCGCGAAATGATGCATGTCTAAAAAGTGTGTCACCAACATGAAAAGTTTGGAAAGCTCTGTGCTAGAATCTTGACTCTTTGGCTGTGTGCACTGCTATTTTTCTAGAAAAAGAGGTGCCAGAACTCACCCTGAATGCCTCCCTTGTTCTCTTATACAGTGGTACCTCGGGTTACAGACGCTTCAGGTTACAGACGCTTCAGGTTACAGACTCCGCTAACCCAGAAATAGTACCTCAGGTTAAGAACTTTACTTCAGGATGAGAATAGAAATCGCGCGACGGCGGCCCAGTAGCAGCGGGAGGCCCCATTAACTAAAGTGGTACCTCAGGTTAAGAACAGTTTCAGGTTAAGAACAGACCTCCAGAATGAATTAAGTTCTTAACCCGAGGTACCACTGTAATGGTAATGGTAATGGACCCCACCTGTGAGTTTCAGCTGAAAAAACCCCCTGTGCACATTACCACTTACTCTGGCTCCAGAGTGCTCCCACTGCTGGTGTTTGAAGCTGAGTTAGCCGCAATCTGTAGGTATCCCATAGCTTCTTGAGAAATATTCCTGTTTGATGTGCTTTCCCTCAAACCAGCTTCCATTTTGCCCCCACCCATTTCTGCAACACACCTCATGCATTTTTTCAGTGCATGGCGGTTTGTCATGACTCCTCCTCATATATGTTTGCAACAAAATCCAACAGCCATTGTAAACGTAACTTCGGGATTTACCGTATTTTTCGCTCTATAAGACACACCAGACCACAAGACGCACCTAGTTTTTGGAGGAGGAAAACAAGGAAAAAATATTCTGAATCTCAGAAGCCAGAACAGCAAGAGGAATCGCTGCGCAGTGAAAGCAGCAATCCCTCTTGCTGTTCTGGCTTCTGGGATAGCTGCGCAGCCTGCATTCGTTCCATAAGACGCACACACATTTCCCCTTACTTTCTAGGAGGGAAAAAGTGAGTCTTATAGAGCAAAAAATACGGTACGCTGATATAATTGTCTACGTAAACAGTCACTGGGTGGCGCTATTGCTCCTTCATGAATTTCACTGTAGCCGAGAATCATTTGACATTTAAAACATATAGATAAGAACTATTTGAACTTCCAAGGCCTTTTAGAATCAGCCTCTGGACATGAATCAAAATGGAGACATGAAATAACTTAAATGCTTAAAATATTGGGGAGATTTATCATTACAGTTTAGATTCCCTTTGTTGGCTCCTCATCCCTGCTAGTTTCTCAAATGTGGAGAAATGTGTAAAAAAGAGAAAATGTCTTCACATCCGTTTTCAAGCAGCCGCCTGCTCTAGAATGCTAATAATATGGCAAATCTCTGCTTTGAATGGAAAGCCTCTGCTCACAAGTTGAAAGGTTAAGAATTCATTTTTAGACTCGGCGAATAAAGCATGCATAATTGCTGCTTGCTAATTCAGAAAACTCGGTGATGGATTAGTAACTACAAGCCCATGAGGTGCAGGGGTAACAAATGTAGAAAGTGTATTCGGCAAAAGAAAATGAAAATGGAGAAGAACAATCCGGTGCTTTGAAGAAGGCCTCTATTAGTATTTCTTTTCTGCCTGACTCTCCCCCCCCCCATCATGCTGAGAACAGCTCAACTGGAGGATTGTCAGTCAGCAGCGGGGCTTAATTTGAGCCCCAGTTCCCCAGTACTTGACCTTGAAGCCTTTACCTGACGCTACTTCTCAGTCCCAATGCATGTAATTTAGGCCCCAACAACTTACGACCTTCCAGACTGAATGCAATCCACAGGGCGCCCAATAAAATGCATCTTTCTGCAACCTGTCTGGCAATGGTGAAACAGGTGTGTGTTCAGGCACAGGGAATTTGTTGTATGCTGTTCCCTTAAGAATGGAATGGGAAATCTCTGAATGTTATTGGATTCCAAGTCCCAATAGCTCAGCCAGCATGGTCAATGGCCAGCGATAGTGGAGGGCTCAACTGTGCCTGAAGAACAACTCAGATTCCCCTCTCCCTTTCCCCAAGAGGCTCCTTGTGGGGCTGCCTTTGAAAAGTGCTCAGAAACGTCAACAGGCTCAAAGAGCAGCAGCCAGAACTCAGCAAATTGGCATTTGTAGAATCGCACTGCGTATTTGCCCATATTTCATGTGCAAAGCCACATGTTTACACAACGAGTAACCTTGGTTTCAGCCTTGAAGTTTATGATGTAAGCTGAGATGTGGGCACTTTGGGGGCATCTGATTTGGGGGGCCCCAATAAATATCTATATTGTGTTTTGTTTTTTTTAAGTCAGATTTTGTGTACCAGAGTTGGCACATTTTTAGATGAAACAGCATGCGTTATGAAGTGTGGTTTGGTGGAGCAGCACATCCACCAGTGACTCCACAGCCCTGCTGAGCATGCTGCCCAGGGCAGAAAGTGGGGGGCAGGCAGATTGCTCTGCCACCCTGGGTCTGGCACGGTGATTGGGCCTGATGCTGTCATGTGATGGCCATGTGACTAGCTTGGGACCCAATGGATCCTGGGACAGCTTAGCCCCTCTCTGTCCCAGGAATGTCCTCTCTCGCAGGTTTTTGCTGGTTTTCTGCCCGCTTGGCAGGTGGAAAGGCAAAGTGACATTAGCAAAGTGATGCTGGTGTGATCCCACAGGCAGAGACTGGTGCCCAATCCAACCCCCACTTCCTACCCACTTCCTAAAATGTGCTTTTAGATTGTTCTATAAGAGATGGAGCAGTGTTAGACACTTGAGAAGCCACCCAGTAAGAAAAAACTGAGGGATTCCCCTTTTGCGTGCCCAGAGAATCCATTTCCCTACCTACTTAGAATCTGTTTGGAAGAAATAAGCAACGCCGTTCATTCACTGAATTTCCATTAGGGTCCCAATGTCAGTCACAACAACAGGCTTAAATATGACATTTTAAAGAGCAGGATGATGAAACCATCCCCGTGATTTCACCTCACACGCAGTCTGGTAACTGTGCAATATGTATGAAGCATTCTGCAGGGGCCATGATTTAATTTATATTTCAGGTAGCTCTGTAGCACATGAAGGGGAATTGTGTCAGTTCAGAGCAAAGACAGACAAATTAACAGATCAGACATGAAATGTACTTGATGAAGAGCAACTAAGGGTTTTTCCTTCTGGGACATGAGCGTTCCTGGCAAATGTCACATACAGTACTAATATTTTCTCATAATTTCACACATAGGTATTTAGTAATCTCTTTTCAGAGCACAATGTCAGTAGAGAATTAAAAGTGTGGAATGTTTTTGACCTGCATTCAAACTGTTGCTGCCTCCCCTTCTGATGCCCTGGGTGTAATCTAGTTGTTTGAAGCTATGTGTGCAGTGCAACACATAGCTTGATTTTCCATTCTGTGCTTACAAACATACTGTTATACGCCACCCACAATCTCCACAGCAGTCCAAGATTCCAGGGAGTTCCAGGTGCTTACCAGGGTCTGTGTTTCCTTTTGGGAAATGAGGCACAGCAGAGACTGGGGTGCCTTTATGATATATGGTTTATTTACACTTATATACAACCTGAGCCTCCAGTGGAGGAGTTCAGAGCAACGGCATCCCTCTCATACATGCAGCAGCATCATTGCTCTGTTGCCCTGCAGCTTGCCTTGTTTTCCAAGTCACATCACTCCTAATACTGAGCTCTTAATCCACATTGCTCCTGAGTATGCCTTTGAAGTGAATGGGGCCTCACCTATTCACCATCTCACACTGAGTTTTCAAGTAATGTGGCTAGATGAGAGATGGTGAGGTGCTGGGGTGGCAGCAGGTGGTTAAGTAGAGGATGAACAGCTAAGATGAGGTGCATTTCCCCTATATAGTGTGAATCCTAATAGACATGTATCCCAACAGAAAAGCTCCTCCAGACTCTTTGAACTCTTGCCCACGAATGCATTACTGAATAAAGTCACTGGCTGCATGTGTAAGGTGCAAGTCTCATTTGTATCTCAGGTTATTAAGCCAAGATACAATCATCCAAATGTGATCAAAACCTTGCCATTTTTCTCTTTAGTTGTTTAGGGAAGTTTTTAATGTCTGATGTTTTATCATGTTTTTAATATTCTGTTGGGAGCCGTCCAGAGTGGCTGGGGAAACCCAGCCATGTGGTCAGGGTATAAATAATAAATTATTATTCCTGCCCTATAAGGCAGGAATTGCCAAAAGAAAAGAAGCTATTCGTGTGCGCTACAACAGCAGCTAGAATTTTACTAGCCCCCAAATGGAAAGATGATAAGATACCAACGAAAGAAGAATGGCAAGTTAAACTCATGGAATACGCAGAAATGGTGAAACTTGCAGGAAGACTCAGAGACAGGGACCATAAAGACTTTAAAAAAGACTGGGAACCATTCATGTTGTATTTACAGAAATGTTGTAAAGAAATGGACTCACTAGCAGGGTTTGAGTAAAAACAACAACAACAACACAAGAGTAAAGGTTAAGAGATAACGATATGGAAATTAATGAGATGTAATTTGAAGAAAATCTGATATAAAAATGAAAAGAATATAAGAGCATTCAGCCAAAAGATGAAAAATTAGATAAAAAATTAAGCACAAGCAGCAAATTGTTAAAAAAGCAGAATGGGAAGTTGTGGGAAGTCACGGGGTGAGGGGAGTTTTGTGTTTTGTTGTTGTTGTTGTTTTTATATGATAAATGTGTTGAATATTAAACTGTAAAATCTAATAATTTTTAATATAAATAAATATAATATAACATTATTATTAAGTGTCTGGTTGGGT